GTCCACGCATGCGCCCATAGAATCGAAGGGCAACAGTTGAGGCGAAGAGCAGCCACAGACATGACATCGCTATCATGGAGTCGCGACCGCTCCGGGCCATCGCTATATCGATTGTTTCCACCATCCTGACCTGCGGAGGCAAGACCCCGATCCAAAGCTATCACTCGAAGTCCGGAGAGATGCAAAGTAATGAACGGAGTACTAAAAGAGTGGGTCCTGTCGTGAGAACTGGAGAAAGGGAAAGAACGAAGAGATGAAGTCGGGGCGATGAGTCGGGGCAACAGTGTATTGTTAAAACCTGATCCATGTCTCCCGTCTCCTGTCTTCGTCAAAACTGTTTTGGCTTTCGTAATGATGGCATACCCGTTGGGTTAGCGGGCCTAGCCCGGCGGACCGAAAAGAGTTCCTTGCCTGTCAACGTTCAACAGTGGAGATCGTAAGGATCATTGCCACAAACGTTGGCCGAACACCTGAACTATTCCCTCCGGATGTGCGTTCGCGTTCCCCGGATACGCATGCAGCAATGTTGACCTACGCGAGGTGACGATCGTAATGAAGCGCCATCAATCTCGAGCAATCATGCAGCGTGAGTCGTAACGAAGAGACTGACTTGAGGCTTGAAAAGAACTGGTAACGTGCCGGCGGAGAGTCGCCGACGGTGAAACAGTCTAGGCCAGGTATTGACCCACAGCGCCAAGGGCCACTGCCGGGCGCCTCATCCGCTTGCCGTTATGACAGGCGGCACGCCGCAACTTTCCGACTCGAGGGTCATTGGCTGCATGAATAAGCAGGGGATAAGCAGGAGACCTCATGTTCGGCTCCACACGTGTTGTCAGGGTTCATGACTGGCCTGAGTCGTATTCTGCCTGAGGCAGGAGGCCTGGCGACCAAATTCTCGAAAACAAATAGAAGAATGCAGGTTCCCCGATCTTTTCTACAGCCCTGTCCCAGGTCCTCGGGTACCTAGACCTAAATGCGCCATCTGTGCGCATACATCGGCGAAGTTGTACCCCTTCTTATCCTCATGGGTCTGATAGTGAAGAATTTTGAGTCCCAAACCAGCTTAACTAAAAGAGACAGTATTCCCGCTGTGGACAGCGCGCATCTCCACTTGAGCGTGTTAACTTCCTTTCCACGTGGCGCTATGATCCTCCAGGGTCTTGGAGCACCAATGGTCGATCGCTGAATGAAAACCTAGTGGAGTCGATACGGGGCATCTTCGGCGCTGCACATGCGATGCTCGTTTTATCGCCAGGTGCGGATGCACTGCAAAACCCAGCGATTGGAAGGAGAAAGGATCGACCCTGTTGAGCTATCAGTCGCCTAGAGACACCACTGCGGTATATACCATTGCCCTCGCTGAAACATCGCCATGCAATCACGTTCTCCCCTTTGTGCAGTTGTGCCTCGCCAAACTGCCAAACCTCCCCAACATGGACGACCATTCGGGCCTTTCCCAGGGCTCCAAGTCAGTTTTCTCACTCGCGATGGTGGCTTGGCTCGTCCTACTCTGGGTCGGCTATAGAATTGCCATTGCATTATACAACATTTCGCCCTTCCATCCACTCGCCAAATTCCCTGGCCCGAAGATCGCAGCTGCCACCTACCTGTACGAAGCGTACCACGACTGGTGGCTCGGAGGACGCTATGGAAAAGTCATCGCCCGCATGCATGAGCAATATGGACCCATCGTACGCATAAACCCAGACGAACTACACTGCTCCGACCCTGCCTTCACGGATGAGATCTATGCCGGTCCTGGACGTCCACGCGACAAGTGGCAGCATCAATTGAATACTGGAGGAGCCGGACCTGTTTCAGTGACCGGATTTTCGACTGTCGACCATGACCTCCACCGTGCCCGCAAGGCTCCATTGAGCAAGTTCTTTTCGCGCCAACAGATGTTGAAGCTCGAAGGCGAAGTGCATGAATTTGCCGTAATGACGGCAGACAAGATGCTTACTTATGCCGGCAAGACCGCTTTCGATGTCAAGGAAGCGTTCAACTGCTATACTGCCGATGTCATCTCTCAGTACGCATTCGGTGAGCCCATGGGTTTTGTTGCACAGGAAGGTTGGGAGCCAAACTTCGCAACCTGGGTCAAGTCGTTCTTCAAGAGTGCGTATATGATGCGTCACAACGCGTTGGGCCGAAAGATGGCTCAGGTCCTGCCGTTCATGGCCGATTACCTCGGTGAAGATATCAAGGCTGTCATGCGTGTCATGAACGTGACTATTCCTCAGTACATCGGCCAGGCTTTGAAGAACCCCGAAAATGGACGTGTTTTCGCTGAGGTCATGGGCAAGAACAAGACCATGTCAGAGGAGGAGAAGTTCCGCTACAACGGTGAAGGTTTCAACTTCTTGCTTGCTGGTACCGAAACTACTGCTGTAAGTATCCGATGAATGCCGTCGTCAACGAGCCAGAGCTAACAGCAACCGCAGGCTATTCTTACTGTATTCACATACTGGAATCTCGCAAAGCCGGAGATTTACCAGAGACTGATGGCTGATCTCGCTACCGCTGGTATCAACACACAGACTGTGAAGTGGGTTGAACTGGAAAAGGTGCCTTACTTCTGGGCTGTTCTGCAAGAGTGTTTGCGTATGATGCCCGGCGTGTCTCATCGATCTGCCAGAATCGCGCGCCAGGAGGACCTGCACTATGTATCCGCTGATGGCAAGTCTGACTGGGTGATTCCAAGGGGTACACCTATCGGTATGACATCCATGATCAACCACTGGAACAGGGAGCTTTTCCCCGACCCTGACGAGTTCCTTCCCGAGCGTTGGCTGTTGGAAGATGGATCGCAAAACTATGCGCTCCAGAAGAAGCTCATTGCATTCGGAAAGGGAAGCCGCAGCTGCATTGGTGAACAACTGGCGTACTGTGAGCTGTACATTATGGGCGCGTACATGTGCCTCAATGTTCTTCCGAGGGCGAAGCTTGTAGACACCGTGAAGGAGGACATTTCGTACGACCACGACTTGATCGTTGCGCAAACGACCAAGGGTTCCATTTCGGTGAAGATCGCGATCGAGTAGGTCGGCCACTGCGAAGATGAGGATGTTGGAAGTAGATAGGAGACTAGAGATAATACCCGTTCAATCGTCACGACATGCGATGGGCCGAGCCGAGCTGACGCGTGATGTGTCCGCGCCGCGCGCGTTAGTGTTGGTAGCACAAGTTGACGCGTGTCGGAAGCTCGAAAGGAAACTTCCGAAGCTTGGCAAAACGCGATTCGTGATTCCGCTCCATCATCAACGGGTTGACTCAGTCGCTCGACACGAGATCATGTCAAATGCGCCGTCTACGCGCCAGTTGCCTCTGCAGTCAGTATCCGCAGCCTTCATCTAATACATGTCTCGGTTGCGATTGCGCCCTTCAAGCTCGTGAAGCTGGTGGTGCCACTGACATTCGATATTGCTGCCGACATCGCGCGTTTGGGATGGAAGTCACACCACTCGTGTGTTGCTGACACTCTCAGTCATTGCGGTCGCGATGCGACTTCTTCAATTGCCTAGTACCCTCTTGCGCAGTGGCTGCCTATCCAGCCGAGCGCGATCGTTGTCTCTCGACAAGCAACAACCATTACCCACAGAAGCGAGCGCCCCTGCATCTCGCTCCACGGACAATACAAGCTGGCAGTTCGCAGCATGATAAGGGGCGGTCTAGATGCCCAGGCGTTCAGTGTATGTTTGAACGGTGAGGAGCGCACATGATCGGTCCAAGGTTGGGTCCAGTCTACATGATCCTGAATTCGTAGACGTGGTACACGCCCCGCCTACATACTCGCGTCCCACGCGCCCCACACGTGGGGAGAAGCGTAGCATACTGCTTTACCTTACCTACGTGTCACCAGCACGAAGCGCCCTTCATTCGGCATTACCACCTCTTGAGAGTACGGATTGAACATGTTCGTGGCGTCATCCATCGTGCTTCCGTTCAGAAATTCTCAACGGTGAGCGTGACTTTGCTGCACAGTCGATGAGCCATTTTCGCACAGACTACCCCAACTCCGGCAACGCTATATCTCCTGAAAGGTCTGACCCCATAGACCTTGAGACCAATCACGGCCGAGTTTCAGGGGATGCCTGGAATTTAACCATGCTGAATCTTTCATTGCGTTACGTGGAACTGCGTGAAGTCGTTGGCGATGGTTTCCTTTGACATTACCTAGGTACCTAAGTAGTTCCGAGGAGCTCGCAGACACGCCATGAGAAAACGAAAGCACCCCGCTAGCGAATGTCGGGGCGCGTAGCTCCGTTCAGCAATCCTGGTCGTGCCTTTTGGCAATCGGCAAGTGACATTGACAACGCCCTTGAGTTCCACGGGTGGAGCGGATACGCGTGAAGCATCGCCAAGCATCGTGCTCTCTGAATAAGCTTTCACGCACTTGCTTGTTGGGTTGTAGCTTGCCGTGGCATATGTACAACATGGCACATGCTCTACTATACGGGACGTTCTATCCGCCATCTTCTGTCGTCTTCTTCGCAACGATCGTTCCGCACCTGTTAACCTATTCCGTCTGGCGGTTCCTGTTCCGACGGCGCTTCCAAACTTCTTACTGTCATCTAGCGCTCGGAGACACCGCTTTTTGATAGGTGTCGCCTTCGCTTCCACCGCGCACACTGCACTTGAAGCCCTGTAGACAATTCTCAGTGGGTGACATGTGAAAGGGCAAGAGCGACACGCGGCACTCGCCCCTCGTCGCACAGTCGGCAGCATTGATCTGCAACGATCCGGATATCAGCATGGAGCTTCAACCTACCATAAATCCAAGTCCATCGGAGAGGCTAGCATATGACGTGTTGTGCGGCATTTTAGTCAAAGACGGGCGGTTTCGAGAAGAGTGACATTTACACAGCCCCGTTCTTGGCAGGTCGAAATCCAGACGGTGGTCGCCGCTAACTACATGGCCAGCGGACCTCAAAATGCTCGCGCACTCTCTTTGACCCACGAAATTTCATCTTTTAGGGTCTCGCATCCCTCGAGTCTCAATGGTTCAGGATGTCTTCTCGCTGCACAACATCGTCGGCCGCGACGAGACGGCATTTCCGTTTTCCCTCAAGGACTACCAGAAATATGTGTTTGGCGACGACCGACTAGCGCATCGCTTGGGCACGGACCTAGCTCGAGCCTTCATTCCCACCATCTCGAACCCTACAGACGACTTCGCAGTTGCCGTGCTATCCGAAAAAGTCCCCACGGCCACGCATAGCCTGCGCAACCACTTTGTGGCTTACCTCAACCGGCATCTGATAGCGAATAACGCAACCCCGGCCCTCAAAATCGATTTTCACGATGCGGGGGTGAACGCACATGCGCGGAACGGTCCGGATTGCAAGAAAAAGAGCTCATATCACATCGATGTGGAACGCCTGGGGAGCAGGACTCTGATTGTACTGGCTGAAATCCGAACGAGCCAAGACCGCGAAGACCGGATACGATCGTCGTTCGGAGAGCGTGGCATAACCACTGTCTTCGCCTATCTTGCATCCCTGAGCGGCTCCGCGACGACTGCAGCGATCTCATCTTTCTTGTCTCAAGTCGTCAGCCCATCCATGAGAGATATCGAGGACATTGCGCATGCCACCAAATTCGTCATGAACGAATGCTTTGTTCAATTCGTACTGGGGAGGGAGTACGAGGAGTTCTGCAAATTCATAAGACGACAAGACGATTACTTTGCGAGAGAACTGTTAGATCACGCTATTGGCGGTCACTACTACAACAATGAGGATTACGAACATAATGTAAAGTTTCTGATATGGGAGACCGAGGCGCGGGAAAGCGTTTAACGACGGGCTTGTGTGCGGTAGCACGGTAATGGCGAACGGCGACGGACTTTACGAGCGACCGCGATGATAGCGTTTCTCGAACACTTTTGTACATCCTCTTATATACCCAAACTGGTCATTGTCGTCAATTTTTGCAACCCCTGGTCCGAATTTCGCAGTCGTAACTGCTCATTCAGATTGTCATCCCACGCGCACACATCCAACAAACTCACCATTGAACAACCCATCCATGCATGCATCTTTCCAGATCACGAGGAGTACTTCTTTGAGCCATTGTCGTCAGTCTGCATTGTCGTGTGCGGCCTTTCATATCCCGACGTTGAGTGCAATTCTTTGTCCGCTTTCTACTCCACTGCAAACATCACAAGCACACCCACTCCAGGCTACACACAGCTAAAACAACTTCTCTAATCTGTCAAAGTATAGCACGACGTCTGCGACGAATCTAGGAACATGCCGTTACATTCGCATGATTACACACCCAGCCAAGTGCACTCAAGCACGCAAAGACTAGGAAGTATCAGCCATTCTCGCGACCTGCCCTCTTTGCACCAAAGTTGCTACTATGACGCCGACGATTCATCGAGCCAGATCACTGCGAGCGAAAGCCGCGGTTCGAGACATGGGAGCGAACCTCTGGACTCAATATCGCAGTGCAAGAGCGCGTTCGAAGACAACCAACAATCTTTGCCTCAACTCTTCAAATCGTATGCGGTAAGAAAAATTCCCTCAACCAGAATAACTAGAGTCGCATCGCTAACTGGTATCAGCTCCACATCCTCGTAGCCGTAATAGTCACCCTGTTCCTCTTCGAAATCACCGTTCGCCTACCCTTCCTCCTCGCACTCACCTTCGCAATTCCCTACGTGCACATGATGCTCACACCAGAGAAATCCACACTCCACTCCGCAACATACGAGTGTGACTCAGAAGAAGGTCTTTACCGTCGCTCATCCACCTTCTCAAGTGCCCCCGGCGAGCCTGTCGCCCAGTACAAAGCTCCAGCAACATTGGGCCCAATAAACATCACCTTCCCCGGATTAACACTCTTCTTGCCATCAACATGGTTCCCAAGTGCAACAGACTCTGAAAGATCCAGAAGAGTACGCTTACACACCACGTACCGCGAGTCAGCATACCAACCCCGGCGCACATTCGGCGAGGCATTGGGAGACACTGGACCCAGGCTATTCAAGAGGTGGGGTGCGTTTGCACTTGAGACTTTGTGCTTTCAGATTACTTCTCGTGTCATGATGCGTATCGCGCAGGCTGCATACGAAGCTATGTCTGGCGAAGAGGTCAATGACAACTTCGTGCATATGTACGTCATGCACGTTCTACGCTTCTACAAAGACTGGACTGTGGGGATGAGCTCCATTACTTGGTTTGTCATCAAGAGGATTGTTGGAAAGACGTTGCTGTCGCTGGGGAAACAGACTGTGATGGCCGCTGGCGGCGTGAAGGACACAGGGTTGGAATATGAAGATGTGAACACAGTGCAGTTCTGAAAGGAACCGAGGCCTGAAGCGGAAAGAAGGGATAAGGATTATGCTATGAAGCGTATGACAGGGGTTTCTGTTGCTCAATGTTTGGCGCCAACGGGCGGATCATGTGATTAATGACAGTCGTTTGGATTACCTGCTTTTGACGCTTCAATATGCTGCTAGCGAAATATTGAATGCTCGACTAGCATGTCTCTGACATAGCTCTTCTCAATGTCTTTTCCTTCAATGTTAATCGTGCCCATACAGCAACTCCACGTACAATGCTGTTGTGATGTATTTCCTTTGACCAATTCCATGATTAACAATAGCAACGGGTGTATTGTCAATACCGCAGTTATGATCTCTACGATCACCTACGTCCCTATCAATGCTGTTCTCACACACCACGTGCTTAAATTCACAGAACCGTCGCTCTATAGCGAAACTTCATTGCCAAAACTCGAGTACAAGATCTACGTAGCCGCATATCTCCCTTCTTTGCATATCGCAAAATCAGCCCAGTGTTTCGTTTACCTAAGAAGCATGAAGCTGATCACTCTAGCAACAGCGATAACGCTGCTCACCACAGCCTCCGCTCACTCATGGTTGCACTGCACCAACCACAACAACACCGGCATCAAAGCCGAGATGGCAGCCGCAGCACTCGAAACGCCACCTAGATCCCCTGATCCCCTGTACGTACATAGCATTTGATCGCACATACTAATAGCGGAAGCGACATAGTTGACTCTCCTACAGCATGCCTTATAACGCACACCTATGCCACGGCTGGCCGCGCGCAAGTCAGAACCCAGGCGATTGGAGAGATGAAGGCATAGAATGTCCGCGTACCCTATTTACTAGCCACCAGCGTCCTTCTGCTAATCGTCAACAGATCTATGGGATCTCCCCGCCGCAGCCTCAAAGGGGGACACGCACGCCTGCCACCCCCGCCAACGTGCACCAGCCCAATACCTAACTCCTACGATTCCGCAAGAGCCTGGTAGTAAACCACCCTACCATACCGCTCCCGCTCCCATGGCAACAGCCGCAGCCGGCTCCCCCATAACACTCATGTTCGGCGGCAACGGGCACAGCCGGGGTAATTTCGGCGGCGTGGAGAAGGGCGATCCGGGGCGCGTTTCTGTTTATTGGGCTGTCAGCAAGGAGAAGGAAATTGTAGATGTGAAGGAATTCACGAAAGAGAATCTTGTGCAAGACAATGGCTTTAGCGAGGAGAGCTTTGCGTACCCGGCGGATCTGAAGGTCACGGCGCCGCCGGCGCTGCAAGATAAGGGAAATTGGCAGACGGTGCATTTGTAAGTCCATCTTCTTTTCGTTGGTACTGTGTTGTTAGGAGCGAGGATAGATTTGATCGGAGGAGTTCTCTTGCTAATGTTCCGGTATAGGCCAGAGTGTATGGAGAAGGGTCGGCATATGATGGTATGGGTGTGGAATTTTGACGGTGCGAACAAATACAGTACGTGTTTCGATGTCATGATTGAATGAGAAAGAAAGGACCGCTGGGCGAGAAGATACATCAGATTGGTGACGAAGAGTCACGCAATGTATGTCCCTTTACCATTAGTGCTTTGCTTCTCTTTGCCCACTCGCTGTGCCTGCTTCTCCTCTCGCATGTGCAGTAGCATTGCTGTGTTCGACCAACTTCAACGGACGGTATTTTGCATCCCACATCTGCTCTCTGATCCACTCCTCTAGATCTGCATCGTCACTTGGTATATCCTTCTCTTGGGCCAGATCATCCTCCACGGCCTTCTTGATCACACTCTTCGCAATCTGGACGCTGATTTCGCGCACGTCTTCGACGTCTGGTAAGAGACCGGCTCCGCGGTTGTTCAGAACGGGGGCCTCCGAAGCAAGGGCTTGTACGGCTGCGACGAGGAGAGCGGGAGTCATGAGGCGGGTTCGGGAGAGGACAGCGCCGAGGCCGATGCCAGGGAACGTTACCGAATTGTTACATTCAGCTTGAAGCGGTCAGCAACATCATTACGGAACGAAAATTGTAGACCTACAGATATCGTATTCCTTGCCATCGTGCTTGACCGGTGGAAATGGCGAACCGGTTGCCACCAGCGCTTTGCCATCGGTCCAGTCGAACAAGTCCTGCGGCTTGGCCTCGTGGAGTTTGGTTGGGTTCGATAGTGGGAATATGACAGGGCGCTCGACGTGTTTCGCCATCTCTCGAACGACGTTTTCTGAGAAAGACCCTGGCTTGGTCGAGGTACCGATGAGAACGTGTGGCTTCACCTCCTTGATGACAGATAGAAGATCGCCATGCTCTTTGCCTTCCCACTCCTTATCCTCTCGCGCAAACGGAAGTTGGGCCGGAGTGAGCTGATCCTTCTTGCCTTGTAAAAGCAGACCAGGCTTGTCGACGCACCTATACTGGGGTCAGCGTGGGCTCCTGGACTGAGTGTGTAAAGAAGCATACCAAATTTGGCGCCCGGCTTCTTCCTTCGACTTCCCGGTGTTCTGGACGATGGCATCTTGGATCTGGTCCGCAATCCCCGTGCCTGCCGACCCCGAGCCAAACATGACGAAGCGAGCTTCTTCCCATTTGGTTCCGCTTACTTTGAAAGCTGCCATGATAGCTGCAAGCGTTACGCAGCCGGTGCCTTGTACGTCGTCATTGAAACATGCGATCTCAGGTGTGTATTTGTCCAGAATCCTTCGCGCGTTGTTCAATCCGAAATCCTCGAAGTGGATGTAGGCTTTGGGGTAGTGTTTTCTCGCAGCCTTTACGAACTTGTCGACGAAGTCATCGTATCGCTCGCCATATACTCGCTCTTTTCGCATGCCAAGATAAAGCTCGTCGTTGAGAAGGTCTTTGTTCTACTCTCGTTAGCAATGCGCATCTGATTCGGGTCTCTCTACTGACATCGGTGCCGCAGTCAAGGACCACAGGGAGTGTTCGCGAAGGATGTATACCTGCGCACAGAGTGTAGATGACGAGCTTCGCTATGCTGATGAGGATGGCTCCTACACCCTGATCGCCAATGCCGAGTATCTGTTGCCCGTCGCTCACGACTATCACATCGATATCGTCGGGATTTCCCCATTGCTTGATATCGTCCTCGACGCGGTCTGCATCGTCGATGTTGAGGAAGCAACCTTCAGGTCGCCGGAAGATCTTGGAATAGTCGGCAATCGCCTCGCCCTCAGTGGGGGTATAGATGACCGAAAACATCTCCTTGAGGTGGTCAAGGATGAGCTGCAGCCGTCAGCCATGCCATGCCATGACCGACACCATCAACCGTCGCATACCCTGTAGTATAATACTTCGTTCTGCTCCTTCAGACTCGTCATGAAGGTGTTCTTGGCGAGGTCATTCGGTCGGGAGCAGTACTGGGCGTATGCGCGCTTGACTTGCTCGTCGAGGGTCTGGACGTTGGTGGGAAGGAGGCCATGAAGCTTGAAGACATCGCGCTCTTCTTTGGTGAAGGCCGAGCCCTTGTTGAAGTAGGGTGTTCGTAGAAGTGCATTGCCCTGGACAGCGTGTCAGTCGTATGGCTACTGGAAGGAGTGTGCGTGTAGTACAGTCAGACTAGTCTCCTGTGGTCCAGATGTCGATAGAGGCAGATGGCCAAACTTTGCGTTCTTCTGCTGCTTTGTATCAGTCGACATGTTTGCGATGTGTCTGCCACAAGCGATGCGCGCAATTCGAGAGATGTGACTGGGTGATCGCTGGAATGCGGGCAGCGCGGAAGCCGACGACTTGATCCAGAGAGGCATACAATGTTAGCAGAGGCTAAATGTTAGTGTCGTAGAGAGCACAGCCTCATATTGGAGGTGGTATATCGTCCTCGCTGGCCGCGACAGCCTGTTGAAGAGGGCGTTGCGCGTCGCGGTTTCGGCATGATGACGTCGACGTGAAGCTATCAGGTGTGGGACCCTGCAGCGCAGAGGCTAGACCGTTCAGATGTTCTTGCTGCTGCGTGAAGAAGACGCGCCGCTCAACGAGTCCATTGGACATGGGCATGCACAGATATCTGATAGTAGGCAATGAGAGCGCGAAGTTTGCCCAGGTGGTCACGAAACGACCCCGGACGGCTGTCTTTGCGCACGCGGCACGTGCTGGCACCTGCAGTCAGTCGCAACCACCACTCCACTCCCTTTACTTTCTATTCGACTTGACCCCGCAGCGAACATGAACATAACGGCATAACCCTCCCTTCCTCGAAGATTCAATGGACTGACTCTATCTTCCTCTATATACAAATCCGTCCGAAGCTGACAAGCCATCCAATCCGAATTACTTGCTCCAGGACCTCCTTTATTCGTTCGCTTTCTTGAACATGTTGTAATAAGGCGGGCTCTCGTCGAGCAATACCGCTCTCCATTTGTAGAAGCCATTTCGTTTTTCTTGAATTACCATGAGTTCGTCTCGCGAGTGGTATCTACGTACAGTCGCGCTAGTCGACTGCATTACCGAATTCGTTGCTGTATCAGTCTCGCAATCTTCTTAGCCGAAGTTAAGTGAATGACTTTAGGATCCCGTGGTCAGCTCAAGACACATGTTTTGAACTAGCACATTGTCACGGCAGACACGATCGAAAGGACTCAGTAAGAGCTTGGAAGTCACAGGAACCCTTAAAGCATCATCGAATTCGCTCCTCGAGCGGTTCTGTATGGCAAACGAGAGAATCTTCGACCATGGACTCGGTACAATAGGAGACGGACTTCTGCTCCAAGCCGGGCTTTTCAGGAGTGATGCGTGGCAGGCCCAGGTGCCCGACGTAGTCTGGAAGCCGCAATCGCCCGGTCGCCTCCTGCCGTGAGCACATTAATCTTCTGCCGGGTGAGAATGGCAGTCACTCGCGGTCTAGAAGACCGCAAAAGCCCAAGCTCAACAAGCTCAACACGGGCGTGCTTGCTGTATGAAGTTTCTACGCTAGCTACCCGCATTCTGGGGAAGCAGTCGCACACAGCATATAATCCCCCGTTCCTTCTCCTTGCTGAAGATCCTCACCTTGCTTTCGCTCACAATCATCAACTGCTTCAGACTTTCCATCACACTCAGTACGGCAATCTCCATTACATCCAGCAACCAAGCACCAAGTCGCAGACATGAAGGCTACCACCATCATCGCCACTCTCCTCTTCGGAACAACCATGGCCGCCCCTGGAGCTGTAAGTTCTAATCCCCATGTATCATCATTCTGCTTGAGACTATTACTGACAGTCACTTCCCAAAGATCTCCCTCAAGCGCTCCTTCATCGAGGCCGACACCGGCGTTGATGGCGGCGGTGCCACAGTCGCCGATACTCTCACGGCATGTGTCGAGTGTCCATGCAACGTAAGTTATCTCCTCTGCTATCTTTCGCAGAACGAACAATACTGTACCTGGCTGATGAATATGCGTCTAGGGTTTCTACGGTGGCTGCACATGTGTCGTCAACGGCTGCTGTCTCAAGCAGAACTGCACTTGGCCTCGTTCTTGAGGAGTGCTTTGTCACTACAAGACTGGAATGGACGTATCCTGAGTGAGGTCTTCTGGGGTGCAAGCATGTGGATGTATAAGGGATGGATGTACGACTTCACGTCAAATGACAGGATTCAAGGATCATGGATATATGTCTCAAACTATATGACTAGGCAGTGACAATGCCTGAGACTCAATCAAGAAGATGTTTGAAATCATGTTTCCAACTTCGTTGTCCACTCGTCTCGTAACAATGGGTGGATGCAAACAGCAGTACCCACCAACATACTCAAGACGGTATACTGCCTGAGGCCATCGTGAAAAGAAATGACAGCTAGACCAAAGACTGGACAACGATTGCTAGGGCGCTGGCCACGGCCGTTGTCTAAGCCTTCCAGCCACCCTCAGGCACCTCGACATGGCCGTCATCATCGCAGCAGCATCCCCCCGAGACGCATTCACAAGCGCCAGTAAAGCCCTGGAGGCGCCGTTAGTGAATCTTGATAAAACTCCATGCGCCGCCCTGCAGAGGAAAAGGCCGACGATGAGGAGACTTACTCCACATGGACACTCGATACAGGCAACTTGCACAGTACCCTCGACGTTATCGTTGTCGCGGACTGCGATGGTCTTGAAGGAGCGGTTGAGGGAGACCTGGTAGGATGGTGTCAATAAAGTCTTTAGGCCGAAGGTATGGAGAGACGTACAGCTCCAGGAGCGGCTAGGACAGTGGCAGTGTAGAGCAAGGTGCTGATGAAAAGAGCGAACTTCATCTTGACTTGGTGTTTCGAGAGTAAGTAAATTGATGTAGTCGGTGGTTGTTTGGGAGATGCTTAGAAGAGTCGAAGGAGTCAGAGTTGTCCCTTTATGAGAGACAAAATTGGGGCGAAATGGTCAAGTGAAGTTGGAGTGAAACCGCAGCGGAGAGTGCATATTCGCGTATATAACTATACACTGGTGGTCTCACTCAACCTTCTCTCTCTGCATAGCTGGTACCAATGAAGCGTCTTTCTTGCCTTGGTGCAGGACCCGAACTGTGGCCAAATATCGATTTCCTTCTCAGCTTGTCCTCATGGAACGGTCAAGAAACATGGCGTGGCCGGTGGAGTGTCGCGTCTTCGTGTCAGTGGCTGGCTAAAAAAAGTGAAAGTCGACTACGCCCCACGCCGTCATCCATTGTCTCTCCTCGCCGCTAGGTCAGAGTAACGATAATCCTACGAATGACCCGGTCTGACAAAGAAGGGCCAAGACACAGGTAGCCGAATCTTTCAGCGTAGCTGTGCTGATATGGCTCTCTCTTGTCGAGAGGAAAAGTAGCCATGCAGCCATACGATGTTCTTCCCTATACGGCACTGTTGAACTGCCCACACTGAAAGCTTACGCAGTGGATAAGTACTCGCTGGATGCGATCGATGGTAGCCAAGAAGAAGGACGTGTACATGTGCGTATTATGCGCCCGAGTTGCGCTGCGCCGTGTTGGTGCCTTGGCTTCGCCGTGGGGTCTGAGACAACCCGTCAGCATGCAAAAGCTGCGAGATGCGACGAGTAAGAGCCAGATATTTGGCGTGAAAGATTCGTACTGAAAATGAATGAGCGTTGATGGGGTGCGAATTTGTCGGCAGGCAGATGATGGTGAGTGCGTCATCGCCCCGCTTTTGTTAGTCGCGTCCGTGACGCGCCCCTACCCGTATGTGGACGCGACTGCGCTTGACATCCGTTAACTATCATCATCTCGAATCACTTTAGACAACTCAGACACTCGACAGCTTCTCCTAGAGATGGAGCGCTGCACTTGTTGCCGCAGGCGAAGCCTTGTACAGGCTCTTCCCCATTTTCATCTTTTCGCTGAGCCGCCTCGGCGCTCTACCCAGTTACAAGACTACTTCGGATAGTTCCAAGCAACGCCTCTAGAACAACGACTGATCTATCTGCATGGATTTGATTATCATGGTCAAACTATTCTCGCGCAAGATGCGGCTCGTAGGCGAAGACAATCGTTGTTGTCATCCGTCTCGAGCTTCCGACATGCTATAGAGCAAAGTTCGTCCACTGAGGTCTACGGAAGTCGTGGTGAAGTCGAGATGAACTCGGTAGGCTATCTCGCACCATCAATTCTTGTCGCTGGTTCTCGTAGTGAAGCAGGGAAATTGTCTCATATACTCTGCCCTTCACTGTCTTCGATCCTTGTCGCAGCTTTGTCGTGGTGAATTCGATGAACTGTCTCGCATACTATGATTTCACTTTCTTAAATCCTCGTCGCCGCTTTCAACATTTCCCCTCACCGACCGCGCAACGACATTTTTCCCAGCCACAGGAACGTCAGAATGAGCGCTCCGATACTCCCCGTTTATCCGCAATGGGTTGCGCAGACCCTCACACCCTACCTGCGCTACGCCTTCAAGCACTTGTTGCGTGACGATCTCGACATTGAGCCGTACGTCCAGCGAGCGCTCGAGACCTCTAGCTTCCAGCCTGTAAGTTCCCTCATTTGTTCACTTTGACCGCCGTCGGGGTGCTGATCCGATTCAGAAATCCTCTATCGACGGCGACGATCTCTTTTTTGAGCGCGTGTTCTTCGCGATCGAACGTAGACATCAAAGCCTCCCAGCCGAGCTTAATGGACTCACGGATAACCTGCAGCCTCTGGCGAGGTTTCTCATCCGGCGGGCGCAGCTAAAGGGACCCTACGAGCTGCTACATCGCAATGCGCAGCCTAGTGAAGCATGGAAGAAGTACGAGAGTGTACGCCTCATGCAGATTGCGCCCGAAAACGCGAGAGGTATGTACGCGCTTTCACCAGATTTGCTACCACACCGTCACAAGCACAACGCTCTTCACCCCATTTAAGCCCTACATCCAACACACACTGTTCACAGTTCCGCTCCTTCATCTCGGTAATGTCATATATACACCATCAATTTCTCTACGCTGTCCAAATTTCAACTGCTACATAGGCCGTAGACTCTTTTACAGCGAACTCTTTGCTTAATTGTGGATACTTACGCGGACATCAGTGCCAAACTATTCCCATTCATCTGTGGATAATCAACCAGGAACTTCAACCTTCGCGATGACGGCAAGACCACCCACGAACCACGATATCGACCCTCGTTTGCTCTACGCAAACCCGGGCGACTTCACTGAACCTGGGCTCTCAGGAACCTTGACTATTCCTGAGTTGCAGCACTATCAACGTCGGAACCAAGAGATCGAGGCATTCTGGGCAAGAAGACAGGGTCAGCTTCCCGACCAGCAGCAAGGATTTGGACTACAACACCCGTCACCCGGCTCCCAGGGTCCCCTACAAGGTCGTCAACACGAGATGATGTCGTTTAATGACACTGTGAACGGCCCAGGATTGCCGCAAGCACCGCGTCCGGCTCTTCAGCAGTATTTTACTCCATACCACGTACAGCAGGTCGGGCAGCAGCGAAGTGTAGTGCCATCCCAGCTTCCAACGCCGGCACCGACTCCTACGGCGCAGATGTATACACCGGCTCAGTCCATCCAGCAGTACTCCCCACAATTGGGTTCTTACCAGCCTGCGGGCTATCCATCTTTAGTACAGGCGCAATGCCTCCAGCCAGGCCAGGCGCCCACGCTCAAGATCAAGCAACACAAATTCCCTGTTGCGCCTCGGTCGCAGCCTGTGCAGTCCGGAAGTACCTCTCACCGTCGTCCCACTACTCAGTCGGGCCTTCCGACTCTCACTAGACCTTCAGGCATCGCCAAGTCCGTTCCCCAAACCCCCGCGACTACTGCCACACCGGACTGGACCGACACAGCTCAGCTCGCAGCTAGTATGCCGGCTTTCAAAAGTCTCCCGAAAGCAGAGAAGGTAGCCAAAATTCTGGAGATCAACAGGGCTATCAAGGCCAAGAACCCTACTTCGCTCACGGCGATGGATCAGTTCCTCTTTGACCATGGTGTCGCCAAAGAAGACGTCACTGCAGTGGGCGTAGTAGGGCCCGGTGGTAACATAGTGAAGCCACCAGGTCAACAAGCGATAACCGTTCCAGCGCCTGGCTATCCGACTCATCCGGGTGTGCATGCGACTCCACCGGGTATGCCAGCCTTCGCGCATCATCCGGGGTATTCGAACATTACTAGTTCGTTTCCTCAACCGTCCTATAACCCACCAACAAAATCTGCACCGGCCAGCAAGCGAGGGAGGAAGAAGAAGGAGAAGAAGTGAGACAAGCTCGAACAGCGCGCGAGCTGAATTGGCTATTATGATACTGATGTTCGTTCGCTAATTCTTCCTGTCACCTCGATTAAGAAGAAAATTGAACACCCTGGAGTCTTCGTTGGTGGTGAATTTTCCAATTCGCCCGCTCTATACCCATGCAGTCTACAAACCTGTTTAGGTTTTTCTTTATGAGGCGCTGTCTTAGTGCTTGATTTGATGGCACCAGGTTTTCAGGCTGTTATGTGCGAGTTCATACTGTAGGGCTGTCGGCTTGGGCACGCTTCCACGCAAAGTATAGCTAAACAAGGTTGATGAAGCAAATTACAAGATGTATTACTGATTGCAATATTGAGACGTGACTATTTGTGCATCGCGACTATCTAGCATACGCCCTCAACGCAGGCTCACCGTACATCTTCTGCGGGTAGGTCAAAAGTAGTGCACCGGCGATAGGAATGAGACCTTCAGTAGCCAATACATCATCAAGGTCGAGACCCTGAGCGGCGTAGGTACTGCAAACGCTCTTAACATCAATGCGATCCACATTGCCCGGTCCATCGTGCGTAAGCGCATCAACGATAAGCGCGTAGGTTAGAGGGTTGAACAGAACGCCGGCATGGCCGTAAAGAGAGCCACCTAGCTGCCCAAAGCATACCTTCTGTACCTCGTTGTTGGAGACGCCAACATTGCGCACGTCTTTGATGAAAGCGGAGGCGATGGTGCCTTGTTGAGGCTCCACAACCTCATCGAAGAGGGCGGAGTAGAAGGTCGTAGTGGGTACGTATGCGCTGTCGCCTCCGTCGCGTCTGAGCGACGCAATAAAATCGGAGGTAGCCTCTTGCTGGATAACAGAGGGGTCGCAGGGAAGGAGCGCGATGTCGCTGTTCGGTGTCAAGCAGATCGCGTTCGCGATGACAGTGCCCTTGAAGTCTGGAGACACGGGAAGGAAGTCCTTGACAACCTTGCGGGTTGATGGCCAGTACTTCAACACCCATTGTGTGTCTAGACCACCCTGGGACCAGGATATGACGGCGATGTTTTCCTTGTTGGTGCGTGAGACGGCACTGATGTAGTTGATGGCGTAGGCAACGTATTCAGAGTTGGTTTGCGCGTCCGCAAGCATAGCGCCGGGGATGTTGAGCCATACAGGGTCAGCATAGCTCTTGCCATTCAACAACTTCCTGAGGTTGCTGGCAAAGTTTGTGCCTCCATAAGCACCAGTTCCGGGTACGAAGATCACTGGGCGCTTCGCGCCGTAGGTGAAGCTAGGTGGGATGAAGAGTGCCTTCCGGAGCGCAGACTCGGAGAGTGTGTATGGTGCATCAGCAGCATCCTTCTTGGGGTAGATACCGACTGTGGCTGGGTTATTGTTGTCGATGCTGTTCTCGCCGAAGGGTAGACCACCGGTGAAAGCGGCCTTTAGCGTTTCGTCAAGGACAAGGCCACCGGCTATCTGGGTCGCAACAGCGGCGAAAAAGTCCGTTCGCGTGGTCGGGCTCGCCCAGATCTGGGAATGCCTTGCGACTGCCTCTTCGATGTTCGTTGGCCGCGAAGTAGGCTGAAGTTGCTGAAGGATGTCGAGCACCTTTGGGGCATCGCCGTCCTTGACTGCTTGGTCGCATTGGCCGAGAAGGCCACCAACGAGGGAGGTCAAACCAGATGTGAGTTTACTGAGCAGTTGACGTTCATCCAGACCCTGGACTGCGTCGACGGCCGGTGCTGGTGCTGCAATCGGTGCAGGTGCCGCAGCTGGAGATGGTGCGGGTGCTGCGAGCGACGCAGGGAGAACGCTCAGAAGAGCTAGCGACTTGATGGAGAGACGCATATTGACAGTTGCTGGACCTTGGTACAAGAAGCAAGCACGACCAAAAGATGAGGAAATGCAGGGCCCTGGTCGATCAAGATAAGCAAGCATACGACCCTTCTTTAACCACTCTTCCAACGCGAGTCGTGAAGCTCAAGATCGTCATCCTGCCCAAACGTTGCATCGCAGTCCACCACGAAATCTTTACATTGTCACCGCTCTAGCGTCGCCGACCAGGTGGAACAGTCGCGGAAGCGCATCTTGGTATATATCGATCTGCATAGGCCTTGTAGATCTTGCACTACGTAAGTCATTAGCGTACGGGACGGGCTGTGATCATGATCCCTCCCCTGAGTAAATCAAGAGCTGCTTTACTTGATCCGGTTCGAAGACTATTGAATGCGGCAGTTGAGCGCCACTGACATCGCGAACCCACTTTCCGCTTGGGCTCGGATTGACGCATGGCTCTGGCGCATTCGGCATTCGATCCACGCGAACGAACCTTCTGCACGTGTTAGAGATGCATTATAGTGATGGTGGTTGAGCAAGGAATGCATGAACATTGGCCGGTGAAGAGTGCGCGGAGAGAAGAGGAGTTGCGTCCACAGCCAAATAGACGGACTGGGTTGTGAAGATGCGATTGGCCGAGTCTTGCCAGCACACCTGGGCAACCACCTGGGCAGTCTCTTAACCTGACCACGCTCGACCTCGGCTCAGCATCTCGCCAAGTTATCGGCGATGAAGTTTGCGCGCTGTGGAGACACATGCAATTCTTCTCAAGGACGAGGAATTCTGTCCGCCAGATGGGTCTTTTTGACGTTGACAAAATGTCCGTGGGCCCACACTCCGCACATCAAAGCGCGGCCCAAACACCCGGTCCGCCCTGCGGAAGTTATCCCCGTACTTCTTCTTTTCCAGCCCGCACAATCTCTCCTTCCGATCCTCAACCACGGGGAGTATATTTCAGGCGTATGCTAGCGTATCACACCAGAACAAACTTGTAGTTCTTTCCAAGACCCCTCGTTCGGGCTAATCTGTAGCTAGAGCACCACTACTACTGCGTTAACATCTGGAAAGTTACTGAACCGCCTACAATCACCTCTACCCCGCCACAACTCCAAGCATTTGGTCTCGACTCTCTTGTCTTTTTCTCTCTCCCCCTCAATTCTGCGCGTTCCATGGCGCCTGATTTGACGAGCTTCTCGGAGTCGTTGAAGCCGTGGGCTGTCACTGAGTTCCCTCGGCTCGTTTGGGTGTGTATACTAACAATGTCGCAACAAGAGTTTATTTGAAGGTGTCTGTATGGTCAGTTGTATAGGATCATGCCATGCCTGCAGTGAGAAGGGCCTCGGGACCTCGGGAGTCGAACGGCCGTGAGCTCCATCAAAGTCTTGGATAGAAACATAATAGCAGCTTATGCCCTCCATTCAAAGACGCAGGTCCAGCGTACAAGAACCATCAGCCAAGACATCAGAGAGGATTGTTGTTGGATCGTGCAGCATAGCAATCTGGTCATTCTGCGATGCGGAGAATATTCTGTAATGGCGCTAAAAACGCGTGACGTCATTTTAAACCAGGCATGTTGGTAGCGTGATTCACAGCCGTCCCGGGCTGCACCCGTGGACGCGACATCTACTTCAGCGTCCCATCTTTTGGACGACACCGTGCTCGCCCCATGAGTTTCTATCGCGCGCATGCGATTGATGTCTCTTTTTTTCCACGTTGAAGAAGCCTGTCGCAATGCCACCCAGACATCTAAATGATGCCTACCGGCTTGGAGAAGCCATGAATCAGCTCGCGGAAGAGCTCGCCTAGGTGCGACGGGGAAGTAATACTTTTAAGCAGCATGCGATGTATCGGTGACATGGTAATGTCTGCAACCATCTGCATCATGATGTACCTGCCAATCATACTCTGATTGTCGCAGTCTTGGTAGTCACGTCCACAGGAACCGTAGCTACTACGCTCAAAGCGTCTTCTATGGCCCAGGCACAGACTCATCGCGACCTTTCACGTTGCACGTCGCACATCGACCCTACGAACGCACGCCCTCCCTATTCCTAATGTACCTTGCTTTATCATCGTGCAGGGCCGACACGATCTCCTATCTGGACCCTAATGAGTAGCTCGTTCTTTCAGTTACCGCTGCCTACAGCTCCTTCTACCCTACACCAGGCCCAACGGCACGATGCTGCTCTTGACGTCCTCAACACATGCACCCTTCCGCAGCTATTGGATCTCGATGACAGGCCCACATTCGTGCTCAACATGGACGAATATTCGAAGGGGTGTCGAAATCCGATACGACCGATCTTTTGCAATGCAGCACTCCGAGAGCAACACCAGCTTTTGGAGAAGGTAATTGGCACTTCGCCAAGCAATAGCGATCCCCTGGATGGTGGAGCAACACATGATGAGTTTCGAATATGGACGACAATCCTCAGCCGATTCAACGACTCCCGGGATATATTTCCCATCACCATCGAGTTTGAGAACTTTTTATGGCTTGGTGTTTCGATTTTTCCCAATTGGCGAATCATTAGCGCACACAAGCTTTTCCAGAATGAAGATATTCCTGAAGGGGATCCGCTGAGCGCATCAGCACCGCGACTTGAGAAAGAGGGGCACGGCGACCTCACTGCCGACGTAGCGAAGAGTTTAGCTTCTGCAGAGGCAATACCGACGCGGGAGATCATCGAGGATGTGCAACAACCTAAATTTCCGATTGTCTCCCTCGGGCAGGACCGTGACAAAAATGGCTCCTCGAGCATCTCAGCGATCACTTTGTCTACACCCGACTCGTCCGTACCCGACTGGACAGCACCGAACCCCAGAGGTGTTCTCTCGGATCATCTACAGTTTATAAGGGGCATCGACTGGGCAAACACACCATTGGGAGCTATGAACAGATGGTCGATCCAGTTCCGAGAGATCATCTGCTTAGTCATGCGCAACCCTCATCCATCTTCTGTCTTCTGGGGCGAGGACCTGACCATGCTTTACAATGAGGCCTATCGAGACGACGTGACGGGCGACAAACATCCGGCTTTGATGGGAACCGGTTTCTCAGGCCCCTTCGGTGAAATGTGGCACGCGGTTGGTCCTGTAATTCGCGAATGTGCTCGGACAGGCCATGCGCAGCTAAACCACAACCAGCCGCTACCCATCATGCGTTACGGTTACATGGAAGAGTCTTTCTTTACTTGGTCTTTTGTCAGTATTGATGCCCTTGATTTGGCCCCGTGACTATGTACCACTAACACATGGACAGGTTCCAGTCTTTGGTGGAACAGAGCGGGTCTTGGGATGTAAGTAATACTGCAAAACGTTGCCGTACCGCCTATCAGCGAGACCAAGTGGGCTTGAGCCAAAGATACTGGAACTGCTGACTGAGATGTGAACTGTAGTCTATCTCAATGCTTTTGATACCACGGTTGAGTCGATCAGCAGTAGAAGAATGTGGTTACTGCGATCCCTCGGGGAGCGTATGAACGCCACACGTACTGTCAGTAAGTGAACATGGACGATCCTTCATGTGAGACTGACGCTAACCGCGCACCCACAATTCAGAAGAATTCTGGATAAGAGTGCTCGAAGGCCTGAATCACAACGAATACGACGTACCCTTTGCGCTCTTATATACTGTTACCGAGGCAGACGACATTGAAAATAGTTCCTCGCATTCAGATGCAACGCCAACGTCTGTCAAGTCATGCGTGTTCGAAGGATCTATTGGCGTGCCGAGAGGGCATGCAGTGTCACCCGATAAATTCAGCTTCAAGCACCATGACGGCATCTTAACGCCCGCCTTTCGAGAAGCTACGCAGACCCTGGAGCCCAGCATGCTCAGCATCAAAGACCGCACGCTTCCACAACCACTGCTAGACATCATTGAATGGCGCGGCTACAAGGATCCTTGTAGAGAGGCAATGGTTCTACCCCTACGACCAACCAATGCAGACAACGTGTGCGCCCTGTTACTGTTAGGCATCAATCCACGAAGGGCATATGATCATGAGTACAGGTCTTTCATGGCCATGCTCAATAGACAGATCGCCACATCGTTGGCGTCAGTACTACTTTTCGAAGGTGAAGTGCGGCAAAGCAAAGAAGTCGCAGAGATGGCTACCCTACAAAAAGAACAAATGTCTCGACAGCTCCAACTCCAGACCGGGCGAATGCGACGAATGACAGAGCTATCGCCCATGGGCATGTTCCTATTCAACCCGGATGGACTTTTATTAGAGGCGAACGAGAAATACTACGAGATGACAGGTGTCTCATCTACAGGAGCTAAACTGCCTTGGACTATTGATATGATGGTGGGCGAGAGCAGACAAGTCGCGCAAGACATGTGGGACTGTACGCGATATTGTCGTGCCAATCACATGTTGCAAACGCTAACCACGAAGTTCAACATCCAGATATGATCACTCACCATAAGCCAGCAAGTCGTGAGCTACAATTCGCCAATTCGACATGCCAACCACGAGACATTGACGGTTCACTAATCGAGTATTGGGTCCTCTCTGCTAGTCAGCCAGAGCTAAGCCCCGATGGTGAGCTGATCAGCATCATGGGCTCGCTCACGGACATTTCGCATTTGAAGTGGGCACAGGGTCTGCAAGAACGAAGACTACGGGAGGCAGAAGAGGCGAAGCGTCAACAAAACGAATTCATCGACATCACGTCGCACGAGATGAGAAGTAGCAATATCCCCCCTATACTGATTGCATTCGAAATGTCTACTGACGCGTTTACCAACATTTAGACCCGCTTTCCGCGATCTTGATATGTGCCGACGATATCAAAGATACTCTGACGCAGTATAAATTCTCATGCACTGGCGATCGAAAGATGGCCCAGGACTGTATTGAGGCTGCTGAAAACATCACTCTTTGTGTTCAGCATCAAAAGTCGATCGTCGACGATATTCTCACGGTCTCAAAGCTGGACTCAAATCTTCTCCGCATCACGCCAATGCCAGCGCAGCCTATCATCGTTGTACAGCGGTCCATGGCAATGTTGGTAGCCTCTAGTCGAATATATACGGAAGCTGGGCTGACATGATCCTAACAGGTTCCGTCCTGAAATACAAGCCAAGAACATCGACTTCAAGTTCGTTCCGCATCAGAGTATCCGGGACCTTGACATTGACTGGGTCATTCTTGATCCAAGTCGACTCCTTCAAATTATCGTCAACCTTATTACCAATGCCATCAAGTTCACTATGGACTCACCAGTTCGCTCAATCACAGTTCATGTCTGTGCTCATGCGGATTCGCCAGACTTTGGCGTACCAGAAGGATTCCAATGTACGTAGATGCATTGGTTGAATATCCTGAAGGTGAAGCGCTAATTCTATGCGCCCGCCGTTAGTTGTTCCGCAAAGACAAATCGTGAACGAATTCGGAAACGGCGAGGGTTGGGGCTCAGGCTCGTTCGTCTATCTTCGATTCAATGTCCAGGACACTGGATGTGGTTTGTCGCCTCAGCAGATATCGCTGCTATTTGAGAAGTTTGCGCAAGCTGTGAGGAGCGACCAGCCCCGAACCATTGCAAAATCTAGGCTGACAGAGTTCTCAATGTGAAGTCTCCACGGACGCATATGCAGTACGGCGGTAGCGGCCTCGGGCTCTTTATCTCACGCCAACTTGCTGAGCTTCATGGCGGTCAAATCGGCGTCTCGTCGCAAGCTGGCGTCGGCAGTACTTTCGGATTCTACTTGAAATGCAAACGTATGATTGCAAAAAAGCCTACAATCCCAACGGATACAGTGAAGCACGCTCTGGATGCCGAACACGCGACATCTTCGCGCAAAATCAGTGCTGCAACCGCAAATCAGACCTCCACCGCGCCCACAACTGCTACCGGTGTTGAATCCCCAGTACAAGCGAACATCGTCCGGCCCATAGATCACAAGAAAGGCGAAGAGAAAGACAATCGACTCCACGTTCTTGTCGTCGAAGACAATCTGGTCAACCAAAAGGTACTGGTGAAACAGCTCACGAAAGCTGGCTGCGTCACGCATACCGCCGATAACGGCGTCTGGGCATTGAAGCAGCTCGCGAAAACGAAATTCTGCGTTGCTAATGGCATGCCACTCACCATCGTTCTCATGGACTGCGAGATGCCGGAGATGGACGGCCTCACTTGCTGCAGGAAGATACGAGAGATGGAAGAACGGAAAGAGATCACGAAGCATGTGCCAATCATCGCGGTAACCGCAAATATCCGAGGAGGACAGATGGATGACGCAAAGGAAGCGGGTATGGATGATGTTGTTGGAAAGCCGTTCAGGATTCCGGATCTCTTGGCCAAGATGAAGGCCTTGTTGAAGAAGCTAGAGGACTAAAATGATACATCTTTCCTAATACAAATCCTTGAAGCATAGGTAGTCCTGGACAGTCACCGTCAACCCTATATCTCATACTACAAGGTCTTTGATGTGGGACGAAGTCGTATGCAGTCAGTGGACCAATACCATCGCCAACAAACTTTTCGATGCTGGCTGTGGTGGCGCTGAGTATGGCGACACACTCAATACTCAGAACATCTTCACCAGTTATCGACAAACTTATAAAACGTCGAGGCCATATGAACCACCTATGTTGTTCCCGTCGTGCGACTTCGGTCGAGGTCATCCAAAGATGCTTTACGTTCGCAGATACCCCGAGAGACTCGATCAAGCGGCTTTCATAACCTCAAATCGCTCTCCTTTTTGATTCATGTAAACCCAAATTACCAGACACATGTGTTGAAGACCTCTCGCGGACATTACAAAGAGACAGTCGGGTAAACTTCATGCACCTAGACTCCCCAGACGAAGAAACAGCGATCATACATTGCAAACCCATCCATTTTGGACACTCAGGCCAAAAACAGACATTGCTTCCAACTGCGTGAATTTTTAGTCGACGAACTCACACGTTCGCCGCCATGAATGGAGAGAAGAAGAAGAGGATTGAGGACGGGAGAGGAAGTTTATATGCGCCTAAGGGTGGCGCTAAGGTAGCGCTAGTCAAACATGATTGTACCGACAAGATGGTATTGAAGAGGGGGGCAGGTAACGTAGCAGCCTGACGTTGCAATGGACGTCACCAGCCGATGAGCAGCATATCCACACAGTGTTTGTCTAGTACTGAGGGGATAACATGATGACGAAAGGAAAGAAGGGAAATCCAATCAAACGGGGAGGAAAGAAGGAAACACAACGTGGCAATCTGATACATCCACCACCGACTTACTGCGTTATCCTGTGACCCAATGCTCACATCCAGAACATCGTCTTGTCGAGAGCCTCGGCCCACGGGCCAGGCCCATCATTTCGTTGACCTTGGAAGTACTGCTTCGCTGCGATAAGGTATTCACTCTCGAGAAGGTCCTCGGCACCTTTGCGCGACTTGCGTTCCTCCTCGACCTGTTCAACCGACTTTCTAGCCCTTCGACGACCCGCGGGAATTGGTTGTACAGGAAGTCGCGAGATTGTGTTTCTCAAAGCGGTCTTAGCATCGTCGTCAATCGTGACCTTCCGGTTCTGGTAGGCTTTGAAGTGATCGCTCTCATAGTTGGGTGTGAACCAGTCGCGCAAGTAGTTGCGGCCACGTTCGCAGAGCCTGTCTGCATAGTAGGCTGGTGGAGCATAGGAGACGCCCATTGTGGCGCGTACGTAGGTGAAGCAGAGCTTGTGTGTCTAGATGTCAGGTTAGTAATCTTAAGCTCTGTGGAAAGACCCGTAAAACTTACCAGGCGCTGGATTTCCGTGTCGGAGAACTTCAGGCCATTCTCGAGAACAAAGTACTTTGTAGGTATAGCCGTGCCCTGCAAAGCATGGTGAGACTGCAGGTAGAACTCCGAGAAGAAGGGCGATGTGATGCCACTATCAACAAGCGTGCCCGCCTTGCAGTTGCCGTTCGCATGAGCTTCTCCAGCCATAGGAAAGAATCGTGTGTTGTGCCGCTTGACCGCAACGACAGCCGTCATTTTAGGAGAGCCGGCTGGTTCGCCGCGGAACACTTTGTTCCATGCTTTCTTGATAGCCTGCAATTCTTCTTTGACGACCTGCTCGTATTGCCTATAGAATGTTAGTCAAGTTGATCATTCGGTTCCCGATTGGCGTGTATATTGTCAAACCTACCCTGTCGAAACACCGTCCCTGTAGTAGAGCACATCAGGAAAAGATTTCTGAGCTACCAACCATGCTCGAAACCTGTCCTCGGCCATGCCCTCTATATCGTCAATCATCTGGTATATGTTAGCGTTTGAATGGTCGAAATAGCCTCAAAATATTTACTTCTTTCTTGCTCTTCTCTTGGAGACGCATAGAACCCAGGAACTTGCCTCCATCTAGGTCGACAGAGCCGACCAAAGCCGCAATGGAGGGGCAGCCAACGAGCGAGTTGGGACCTGGATGGGTAACATCGGCGCCAAGGATCATTACGCTCCTGGCAGGCGCTTTCTTGAAAAGCGAATTGCGGATAGTTCCTTCGCCAGGATTTTCGTCACATGCGGTATGGTTTAGCCCTCCCTGCTTCAGGTTGACCTTCATCATGACGTTGGCGAAGTACTGGCTGAGCCCCTTGTCGCCAAGTTGCTTGTTCGAGTTCTTTTCGGCAGTGACGCAGAGTGATTGAAGCCCAGCTATGCGATCGGCGACGTCCTTGAAGGCTGAGTAGACAGGAATGTTGTATCGTTCAAGTAAAAGAATGACGAGCTTTCCGTTGGCAGATTGCTGCTGGCATCTTTCGATAGCCTCCTTGATATCTTTCTTGAGTTCTTCGTGGGTTTTGGCCAACGTTATGTCTGGTTTCTTGAGCTCTTCGTGGGTTTCAGACACCGTCTCGTCTGACTCCTCTTTCTTGGTTGTCTTGCGGTAACTGGGTAAGGTGGAAATACCACAGCAGATCGCATCCTTTGCGATGCCATACTGTGTGATACTCGCATTCATGGCTTGCTTGTATGTCTCAGCTATCTTCTCCTCAGTGAGGTCGCTGCCGTTGATCATGTAGTATTCAAGTGAGCTACCAGATGTCGGCGTCTTAAAGAAGTTGAAGTTGCCGTCGAGATTCCATTGAGCTTTGCCGTCCATGTTTGGCTTCTTGTATTCCGGCTTGCCGGATTCCTTGGCGTAAACGGCGTGTACTTGTTCCATTCGAGTAGAGGGTATTTGAAGCATGCGCGGGTCGATGGTCAGCGCATCGCATTTGTCCTGTGAGCAAGTCAGCAGTGATCAGAGCAAGGTCAATATTTACCCACAAATTTCTGCGCTCCATCCTTTTGTATTATTCCAAGACCTTTCAGGCCCTCAGCTTCGATCCTAGCACGAACGTGGTCGGGAGTTTGACAGGCGAGCGTGAGCATCGAGTCGATGAGTGTATCCGGAAGAAGATTGTTGTAGAGCTGATACGGCAGAATACGGAGAAACTCCTGTGGATACCAGACTGGTTCATCATCGGAGCCGACGTTGACCGCTTTGAGGTTTTCATCAAATCTATGTGCGTGACCAAAGACTGACTTCATGTGGTCAACGACATGTGTATCCTCATTTGCCTGCTGTAGTTGGCCTCCGTTGTTGAACCATTTGCGGAACTTCAACGCGTCGTCTGAACGATTTCCGATGTCTCCACCAAAAGCTTTGACAGTCTTGATGCGATTCTGGGGCCGGTTCAGGTTGTCAACGCGGATCTGTTCCTCAGGATCAGTAACTGCTAGTCGTTCCGGGGTGATGTAGACTCGCAATCGCTTGATACGTCGCTCACGCTCGTTCTGATGAAAGGTGTTGTCCTTGAGAAATTCTGCGACCGTGATTGGGCGATAGAAAGCACTCGTTGCAGCGTTGACGTTGAGCAAAACCTTTTCCATAGCTGGCGAAATGGTGTAATCGTATCCTCGCATGACACAGAGCGACTTTGATCTACCGAGAACCTCGTGGCTATCCTTGAAGAAGAACTTGTGAGAGGATGTTTGAAACACCTCGTCAGTCAGATTCTTCGCAATGACTGTGTTTAGATATGCCACTAGAGGGTTGAAGTTGAAGTCGGGCAAAGCTGAGTCGTTGGGTTTGGATCTGGGATTGACGTAGTCCTGTAGACGATCAAGGTTCATCTCGCCGTGATATTTAAAGTATAGTTGAACGCGACGGTCTCCATCTGCAATTGGGGTTGGAGTCCACATAACCTCGTCCGCGGGTGTACTCTTGCGAGGGCACTGAATACCCGTATGAAGGTCCCTCCAAGCCACAACAAACTTCAGATGATCCGTGGCAAAGTGAATTTGGTTGTTCCGGAGAAAGTCCCAGGCCTGGATCGCTGTTTTGACAACAGCTTTGGTCTTGCGCTTGTTTCCAGCAGGTATATCAGTGATCTCGTACACGAAGAACTTGGTATTGTTGTTCCATGACACCTCGAAGTAGTTCGTGAGAACGTGACTGGTGGGCTTCGCGAATTGCTTTCTCAGGGGGAACTTTGCGCTCATGATTGAGAGCTTTTCCGTTGTAGGCTCGTGGAGGTGACCCGTTGCTACTTGATCTGCAGTAGGTGCTCTGTTGGCTTGACGAAGTGCAGTGTCTACTGGCTCGCTCTTGGCTTGTTCTTGAATTACCAGAAGCTGAGGGGTCGTTGAACTTGCATGAGGGTCGGTACCATCAGGGTCGATAACGGGAAATCCGGTTGGGACGATCATGGGCTCGATGTTAGTCGGGACGGTTTGCGGAGTGGCGGCTTGAGCACTTGAGCTCCCGGCTTTCTGTGCAGCAAGTAGTTTCTTAGTGTGGGCGGCCTTTAATGTTGCTAGGTGGGCTTCTGCTCCCGCAACGTCGGTACCCTTAAGATTTCTCCATACCTCACCATGCAATGGAACCATGCCTTTATGATTGTACGCACGATGGTCGAGGCCACATTTGATGCAAGGCTTCGTGAGAAACCCATCATCGATCTTGTCTTTGATCTCTTGCGAAAGTGGCATACTGGTGTGACCAAAAGCGAAGTAACCAAAGGTTGGACTGGGAAGAGCGTCGGTATGAACAGAAGGCTCGGATGCCTTCAGATGCTGCTGGTGCTCCCTCATACCTGTACGCACGCCTCAACTTATACTTCGTCTTTCAGCAATCCAAGAGCTACAAGCCGCTTGTCTGTCAAGTAGATTGGAATTGTCGTCCTCTGGTCAAACCACGATCTTTAGGCATCCAGTCACGTTTGCGGTTGGTAAAGTTTCCGAAAATTGTGAAACTTGTCGCGCGGATAGCTGGTTAACAACTCCCAAAGGATGTAGCTGTAGACGTAAGACCAGTAAGACGCAATTCTCCTGTGCAAAATACCATGTTCTCCTCGCCAAAAATGACGAGCATCGCAATACAGTTCGACATGCTACGAGAAATAGCAAAGGCAAGCAATCGTGCCTCCGCAAAGTCAAGCCAGTATATCATCATGCAAGCCAATGGCGCAGACAAACAGCTTGTGAGCTATTCGGAGGCCCCTTCGAGAACATCACCCTTCTCTGATTGTTGAGGTCGGAGAGCGATTCGGAGTAGCTTTGGGGACCGAAACAAAGTATCTAGAGATGTAAGACGCTCACAAATTTTACAGTAATTCGCGCATCGCCCATAACGGACAAGATAACATACTAACGAATTTCTATACCGTGTCATAGTCGCGCAGTCCCATAAGGGACATTCAGTTAGGTGCTCTCAGGTAGCGATCGCGCACCCTGCCTTGTGCTGGCGCGGGAAGAGAGTATAAGAGCACTGGTCCAACTCAATGAAGGCATCGCAAAAAAGAGGAGTGCGGGTTTGGATGCAGTACTCTGCAGACTGATGATATCGTGGTTAGCTCTCGTCTCATCATGACGCGTCGCTGCGGCCAGCTAAGAAACAATCAGGAGCTCAAGCGCCACCTGCATCACGTGCTAGCGCATTTTACGCGACGCGTCAAACCATCCTTCATCTCCACCTTGCCGTCCCGACCACACAGTACTACAACACGCAGCACCATCTCCGCCCGCCACACACAATCACTCAGAAGAAGCATACCACATTAACGCTACATCAAGCGCTCACAAAGTTCCCCGGCGGAAGATACTTAAAAAAAGCTAGCTTCACAATGGACCACCCACAAACCCCCCGCATCCTCGCCCCACACCTCTCAAACTTTCAACACCGCATCGTGCGCATGCTAGGTAAAGTTGTACAACTGCGCGGCGAGACGGCGGTCATCGATGCCGGAGGCAATGTTGATGTTATTCTGAACCGTGTAAGCATTTTCATCTCCGGTTTCACGACATTCAAGCTAACATGTGTCAATCAGGATTCACACCTCGCCGTCGGTCACGCAGTAGAGATCATCGGCAAAGTAGACCAGAATCTACATGTCAAGGTACAAGCTGCTACGGACTTTGGGACGAACATCGGTATGTGCCCTCCCTTACGAAGTAGGATTCATGTTAACGCAAGAGTAGACTTCAATGCCGCAAACGCTGTTGTAGATGCTACACATCGGTACAAGGAGATCTTCTACGACGACAACTAGATAATTGCCTAGCAGAGCTGTTTGAAGACGAAACTGGTGGATCTGTTCGTCGTCGACTGCTCATCATGTATCTTGAAGAAGAAAAGGAGAGAGCTATGATCAGATGTCATTTATGTAAACCAATTGCAAGAATGCAATACGCTATGTGTTCTACGCCCCATGCATGGTATCTTCCCGCCACGTAAATTGAAGCGCCTGGTGAACGCCTACCCTAACCAGATAACGCCCGCATATTCATACAGTTACACTAAGCATTGCCGTCTCGATCAGGTGCTTAGAGCTTACTTCGCACTCCCTCGAGTCTAAACTTGACATCTTTGAGCTGCTTCCCAGTTGGCTTCCATGCCTCAAACATGCCCAGCAACTTCTCCACTTCATCTCCAAGCTCTTTCTTGACGAAGTCTTCTTCTAGCAACCCTCTCATCGCCCAAGGTAAGAAGTAAGGGTTTGGGTTTGTTGTGGTGGCAGATGGCTCGTAGTGATTCACCCGGAGCTTGAAAACGTCCTCCTTCTTACTGCTATTTGCGAGCTTCTCACCAATAATGGGGATGTTGATGCCCTGGAAACTGCCCGCAGTGTTCGGTCGCTCTTTAGTCGTTGTTGGTGTAGGTAGGGATGTTGTTTCGAGGGCGTGTTGGACGGCTAGGGAATAGATGGCAGGGTCTTCGTAGACGCGAGAGTGGCCTTCGCCGCCATATAGAGAGCCTGCGAGGGCGGGGGAGAGTTCGCGAATGAGGCCGTGATCGGGGAGACCCAGATTGCGTAGCTTCAGCGCGAAGCCAACGAGGTGGGTTAGGAAGTCTGGCGCATGGATGCGGCCATCGACGAAGACGGCGCGGTATATGTAGGGATGCGATAGCGTTGAGAAAGTTGACGACTGACGTGGGTTAGTGAGCGCAAAAACTGCTTTTCGAGAACGGTCTGCTTACTTCGAGAGAGACCAGCTGGTCGTCGATACTACCAACGTATAGTATTCGCACACCAAATCGAAGGACTTCGTCCAGAGCTGCGAGATACATCTGGCTAACAAGACTCTTCGGGTTGGAGAACTCAAACAATTCGGCAGCCGTAGGGCCAAAGTACTTCGTCTTGTACTCGATGAATGGGCCCATGTTGACACCGGCCATGGCGCATACTCCGATTCTCGTTGCGTTGACACATCCAAACTGTATGAGCTTCGCGACAAGCATCATAGCTACCGGCACGCCCTGCGAGTGACAAGCGACCAAGATGAAGTCGGCTTGCTTCAGGTGATCAATCCAGTTCAGCAAGAGTTTCCACAGGGAGTTGACGCGCTCAGCAATGAAGCCCTCTCCTTCTAATGCTATCTGCTCGATCTCTGGACTGTATCCCCGCGCTTCGGTCCAGTCTTTGATCGCTGCTGCCGCTGCATTCGCGAATCGAATTGATGTACCCGTTGGTTGCCCTAGCACCTTCTGAATGATGGGCGCAGGGAAGAAGCCATGTACGCCAATCGCTACAGCCTTCTTGATCTTCGGCGGTGCCGGGTTGATATGTAGGTGAGGGGTCGCAGGCTCGCCTCCGAGGAAGTAACGCCGGATTTGCTTCCAGAAGTTTGGTTGCTGGACCATTTGGTAGGTGGTCCTGAACTCTGGTAGCAGGAGGTTCGCCGGTCCTTGCTTGGCCTTCGCTGCCTGCTTGAGCGCTTGCTTAGCAGCAGTTCCTGTCTCGGGTTTCGCGTCGGGCTTCGTCTCGGGTTTCGTAGGCTCGAGCACTGGTGAGGCCTTCGTCGGCGTAGCGGGCTTACTTGACGTTGGGGTATCTGCTGGCGTGTCTTTAGCGGGAGGCTTTGTCTTCGGTCCGCCTCGTAACGATGCAAACGATTTCTTGGTCACCGGTTCCTCTTTGGGTGGCTGCTGTGGTTCTTTGGGTGTCTCTGTGTCTGTTTTGGGCTGCTCTTGCTCGTTGAACTGCGCTGCTTCTGGATTCGATTGTGAGGGGGTATCGAACACTGCGACCTCGCCGACATGCTTCTGCGGTCCAGCCTCGCCTGGCTTCTTTTCGTCTTCTGGCTTGCCCCTATACCAAAACGCCCATGCGGAGGTTTTTGAGGTTCCTGTAGTACTCTTTTGAGGAGTTTCAACAGGCGCATCCGGGACGGTGGATGCTGTTGTCTCTTCTGGCGCAGTGGGTTCGATCTCGGCAGGTGCTTCGGGGAGAGTCTGCGGTTCGGTGTCGACTTTAGCTGCGTCGTTGTTCTCAGTGGAAGGCTCGACTGGAGGTGGATTCGCCTGCGCATTCTGTGCACTACTCCACGTCCAAAACCAAGAGCCAGATGCAGCTCTCGCCAGGACTTTGGCAGTTGTAGATGCTATAGCCCTTGACTCTGTATCTGGACGAGGTGCCGCTTCTTTCGGCGTATCCTTCCCATCTGCATCTGCGACCTGATCGGTGTCGGGTTGGATAGTGCCGACATCTAGGCCCTTCGTTTGCGCATCTGGCTCTTCTGAAGGTGTCGGTCCAGGAAGTGGCGTAGTGGAAGCCTCGTCAACACTTGAGTGTGCCTCACTTTTGACTTTGGCTGGGTCTGCGTACCCGTCGGGGCGTGACCACCAAGATTTCCATCCCCATGCACTAGCAGCTGCATCCACTTGTGATTTGGGTGGTTCGGGGGGTAACGGCGGCTCGGATACCTGGGGCGCTGGCGGCTCTTCGACGTCTTGTGGCTGTGGCTTTGGCTTTGGCTTTGGAGCTTCGTCGAGGAGACCGTCTGAGGATACGTTCACCTGGGTGATGGAGGCGGGTATGGCATCGCCCTTGCTCGACTTGCGCTTGGTGAGGAATTTCTTGGGCGACTCATCTCTTGGCTTCTTCGCTTCATCATCAGGTAGTTCGCCTGTCGCGCCCCCGCTGACTCCGATGCTTTCCTTCGCGGTCTGGACTATGGCAGGCGCTTTCGACCGCCAACTGCCCGTGCCTGAAAGCCACCTCTTGCCTCGCGGTGTCTGTGTCCCGGAGGCGGTCGGTGTTGTGGCGCCGACTGAAGATGTTGACGCTGCTGCCGACTGGTCCGAGGGTGCATCTGGCAGGATGTCACTACTGCTGGGAGTAGTGTCGGCCGTACTTGCATCGTGTGGGACTGCTGGGGCCTTGGTGGATGCGTCGGAGGGAGCCTCGGGGTTTGGCTTCGACTTCTTGCGTGGGTTCATTCCGGCAGGGAGGGTGAAGGAGCTGAGGAGGCGATGCGACCGCTGGAGCAAGCATCAGCACGGGCAAGACACGTGAAGTTGGCAGCATACCTTCATCCCGAGGTGGACCAGGCGCGTCTTGCTGAACCAGCAATGACGCATGTGGGCCCATCCCGTGCACTAGTCCTGGATTAGCGTACCCTGATAGCGTGGATTCTGCCACCGCCTAGCGATATTGCCGGGCTTCCCAAATTTTGTAGCGCGAACTTTTGCCCGCCGTACCACGACGCCGAACCGCAGCCATGGCGATCCAAAAGAAGGTGCGCAAGTACATAATTAATACTGGCGATAGTGACTAATCCTCAAAAGCACGGAAAAGGTCGTCTCGACAAATGGTACAAGCTCGCCAAGGAGAAGGGCTATCGTGCGCGTGCCGCCTTCAAGTTGATCCAGCTGAACAAGAAGTACAACTTCCTCGAGAAGAGCAAAGTCTTGATTGATCTTTGCGCCGCGCCCGGATCATGGTGTCAGGTCGCTTCCGAGGTACGTTACCATTCTATACACCATGCGCCTACATGCTGAAACCCCCAGGTTATGCCCGCGCATTCCCTCATCGTCGGTGTCGATCTCGCCCCAATCAAGCCCATCCCGCGATGCATCACCTTCCAGAGCGACATTACCACGGACAAGTGCAGAGCGACGCTGCGCCAACACCTCAAGCATCTCAAGTGCGACACTGTCCTCCACGATGGTGCGCCCAACGTCGGAACTGCCTGGGTGCAGGATGCTTTCACCCAAGCAGAGCTCGTTCTGCAATCTATGAAGCTGGCTACAGAGTTCTTGGTCGAAGGAGGAACTTTCGTCACCAAGATTTTCAGATCCAAGGACTACAACTCGCTCCTCTGGGTGTTTAACCAGCTATTCACCAAGGTCGAAGCAACCAAGCCACCGTCCTCCCGAAACGTCTCCGCCGAAATCTTCGTCGTTTGCCGCGGTTACAAAGCCCCGAAGCACCTCGATCCCAAGTTCCTCGACGCCCGCAGTGTCTTCGCCGAACTCTCAGACCCTACCCCGAACAACGAAGCCAAGGTCTTCAAGCCTGAAGTCAAGAAGAGGAAGCGTGAGGGTTACGAGGAGGGCGACTGGACACAGTTCAAAGAGGTGCCTGTCTCTGACTTCATCCAAACTACCGATCCCATCGCTATGCTGGGTGGCTTGAACAAGCTCAGCTTCGAACAGAAGCCGAACGGCGACATTGCTGTCGCGACCATCGACAAGCTTCCGGAAACAACAAAAGAGATCAGGGACTGCTGTGCCGATCTAAAGGTTTTGGGTCGGGCTGACTTCAAGCGACTTCTGCGCTGGCGTCTGAGGGTGCGCGAGATTTTCGGTTTCGCGACCAAGAAGACCAAGGCTCAAGAAGAAGCCAAAGCCAAAGAAGCGCAAGAAGGCGATGAAGTCGCCGAGATCGAGTCGATGGATGAGGAGATGCAGATCCAAGAGGAGCTGGAGCGACTGAAGGAGAAGGACTCAAAGTCGAGAAAGAAGCAGCGCCGAGCTGAGAACGAGCGGAAGCAAAAGGAGATTACTCGTCTACAGATGAACATGGCTACACCTTTCGAGATCGGTCTGGAACAGGCCGGACCAACTGGCGAGGACTCCATGTTCGGCCTCAAGGCAGTCGACAAGGCCGGTGCTCTCAACAGGATCGCCAAGGGCAAGATGGCGCAAGTCATTGAACGCGAACAGCCAGAGGAAGAAGAGGAGGAACCGGAGACTGACGACGAAGAGGATCGTCTTGAACGAGACCTTGACAACATGTACGGCGAATACGTTGAGCAGAGATCAGCGCGAGACGCCAAGTACAGAGCAAAGCGTGCGAGGAAACAGGACGACGATGGAGAGTGGAATGGTTTCTCTGACGGAGAAAAGGAACAAAGTGACGACGAAGAGCTTGTACAGTCCGAAAGCGATTGGAGCGATGACGAGGAGGAAGGCCCTAAGAACCTAATCACCGACCTCGACAACGAAGAGCAGCCCAAGACCGGTCTCACCAAGCGCGCAGCACGTTTCTTCGACCAGGACATCTTCAAGGGCATCGATGGGCTTGAGGATCTGGAAGAGGAAGACGATGACAGTGGTATCGACGTTGAAGGCGACACCGAAATGAAGGACGAATCTGCCACACCCGCGCCAGCTACTGAGAACGAACTGAGCATAAGAACGGCTACCAAGACTGCCTCACCCTCAGCATTCGACGAGGAATCCTCAGACGATGACGACAAGATCGAAGAAGTCAAGCGCGACGAAGATCAATGGGAGCAAGACAGCATGCCCATGAAGAACGGCAGGCCAGACATCGACATCATCACCGCCGAAGCCATGACCCTCGCTCACCAAATGGCCACAGGCCAGAAAACAAAGTACGATCTCCTCGACGAATCCTTCAACCGCTACTCCCTCCGCGACGTCGACGGCCTACCAGACTGGTTCCTCGACGACGAAAACAAGCACTCCAAACTCCAACGGCCCACCACCGCCGCCGCAGCCTCAGCCATCAAGGAGAAACTGCGCGCCCTGAACGCGCGACCCATCAAGAAGGTCCGTGAAGCGCAAGCCCGCAAGAAATTCAAGGCCGCCCAGCGCATGGAGAAGCTCAAGAAGAAGTCTGCACTCCTAGCAGACGAGGAGGGTATGACTGAGAAGGAAAAGGCACAGAGTATTGCACGCTTGATGTCGAGGGCTGCCAAGAAGAAGCCCAAGCAGAAGGTCAGCGTCATTGTGGCTAAGGGTGGTAACAAGGGTATCAAGACTAGGCCCAAGGGTACCAAGGGTAAGTATAAGATGGTGGATGCTAGGTTGAAGAAGGATGTGCGGGGTGAGAAGAGGGCGGCTAAGCGGAATAAGAAGAGGTGAAGTGGTGCGTATGTATGAAGTGTTAGGTCTGCATCAAAGGGCGCGACTTGGACTTCTTTTTGATTATAGCAATGAAGAAATGGTAAGGACGGATATGTCCTGTCGATATGGGGCTACGTATGGCGTGATGACTACAGCAAATGCGACATCTCCTTGTATGCGATCAGTGCAACGCCGCTAAACATCAAGAGCGTGCTCATTGAATCACGAGGATAAAAGTACTTCTTGCTCTGCCTTAGCAGCTGAGAGACTCAATTTATTTCAGTTCTCTGGGGGACTCGACATCCATGCTACCTGTGAAGCTCGAAGATCTGCCTACTCAGGCATCAACGACCTCCTTCATAACAGCCTGATCACCCTTCTCATCACCCCTACCATGCATCTTCCTCGCCACCTCATCCGTAAGATACTGCTCGACATTCGGCGACAGCACCGCCGCAATGATAAGCAGCACGCCAAACGGAAGTGTGCAGAGATACACCGTGCGGAACGAAAGTGCATACGCACTCTTCACAGCTTGTCCCGTAGCTGCGATAATCTCAGGCGAGATACCAGGTACAGCACTGAAGTCACCGGCTGTGATACTAGTGAACAGCGCCGGAAGAGACGTTTCGGGAAGACCAGCCGCGAGCGCAGCAGGCATGACCTTTTGTGGTATGTACTTTGCAGACTCGGTCGCGAGAATGGAGGAGTACATGCTCGTGGCAATGGCAGAGAGACCTGTTCGGATAGCGCCCATGACACCAGTGACCAGACCGATGTCAGCGGGGTCCCAGAGGTAGGCTGTGCTGGATAGAGTGAGGTTCTCGATGTAGCCTGCGGCGATGGTGCCGATTAGGAGTAAGGCGGTTGTGCGTTGTTCTGTTGTTTCGTCCGAGGCGGCGACCGCGGCGACGAATGCGGTGGTTATGACTGCTGCGACGGTCATTTGGATCTTCATGCGTGGGAGGTAGCGGACACCCGCGCCTCCGAGGATCTTTGGCCGAGGAGAAGTCCTCCACCAACGGCGCACTATAGTTGTTAGCTAAAGGCACTTAGGGATACAAAGGGTGCCCGTTGATTTACCGAGAGCCATCCAATCTTGGTAATGTCTGTGGTAAAGAGCGAGGAGACCATCGTAGGCCAGATGATGGAGTTTGCGTAGTAGACGATGGCTGCCAGACTAGCACAAGCAACATTGGCGTCGTACTCGATGTTCCTGAAAAGCCGCAGGGGAATGAGAGGATATTCCAGTCCTGGGGCGTAAGCCTCCCAGAAACAGAAAGCGACTAGAGTGGCAAAGCCAGCAAATAGTGCTCCCAGTACGTGGCCGCTCTTCCATGGGTATGCGGAGCCGCCCCAGTTCATGCCGATGAGGAAGACGACGAGACCAGTTGAGAACAAGAAGATACCCATCCAGTCAAGGGTTTTGAGTTGTTTGAGTTTCGATTTGCCGCCAACGTGAAGCATTTCCTGCGTTTGTTAGTCGGGTTTGTATTGGCTGAAGTAGGCTCCCGTACGTATGTTGGTGGGAAGTAAAAGAAGAAGTATAGAACGATTGCCAATACGTTGACAATGCATCCGAGGATGTAACACCATCTCCATTGCAGCTCGGTAGTCTGATAGAGTGACCGTGCTACTGGCGGACCAAATACGGCGAACGGCACTGATGTCGATAGCACGAAAGCGTTCACCGGACCTCTCAGTGAGTTTGGAACGAGTTCGCCAAGAATGATGTGGAACGACAGTTGGCCGGCTGCGGCAAGACCGTTAATGGAGTTGGTAGCCTAGGATAGTCAGTACCATCTGTAGGCTGTAGTCGCTCGAACATACAATCAGCATATTGATGCTTTGTGCACTTGCACCAATGATGTTTCCAATGAGACCGAGTATTGACGAGCAGATGAAGAACCATCTACGACCGAAGATATCCGACAGGCGACCGACCAGTGTGAAACCGATGGCGAATCCAGCTGTCCAGGAAATACCGACCCAGATGATGTCCGGTGACGGTCCGATCGCCGCGTTGATGAGACTCAGTGTGTTTGCTGGAAGTACCCATCCCAGGTAACTGGGAACTTTTAGTACATTGCCCTTAAGTGATTGATGCAAGGACATACCCAGAGATTTGCGCTAGACATGTAGCCACGACAGTGCCGATGAAGTTGACGCTTGTGAAGTATGACTTGCCCAGATCGGCAGTATGGCCACCAAGGGCTTCTTGAGCGACGTGATCATGGTGAAGGCCGTGACTGCTGGCGGTATGCTGATGAGTGAGGCTCTCGTTGGTGGTGGTGACTTCTTCGCGGTATTGCTTCTCTTCCGCCATGATGGATTGATGTTGGTTCGATGTTGACTGCCTCTGTGGAAGGGTGCGTAAGAAACGCAGAAGCTAGAGTTGTGCAACCACACTGGGCTCTGGGTTATCTTTATCATGCACAAAAGGCTCACGAATCATGGGTGAAAATCCGGGGTACCCCAGAATTAGGTGGAGACTTACCTGCCCAGGTGGTGAAGGCAGGTTCCAGATAGCCGGGGACACTGTCATGTCAGCGCCACGTTTTAGAAATCCGGAGTAATGATCTACTTTGTCTACATAAGGGCAAGTTCTCGTATACCGACTGGTATCTCGAACGTCTTCATCGGGCCAGAATGTTACGCGCAAGCCAAATCCACGTGCTCTGGCGTTAAGCAGCGGAAGCCCCGGAGTCGGGGGTGTTCGGTAGAGGCTGAATGCTGTGGTCTCGAGGAGGCTGATGGGGCAGTATCCGGATGACGGTAACCGGGAGTCCCGTGAACTTGTTGCCCTGGTGAAGGGAACCTGTGCATCGTGCAGACAGCTAGTTATGAATACTACGGACTGTACGCGATATCGACACTCAGCAGACTTCTGTATGCAGCGACCGGCTAATCTTCACAGTACGAAGATGCGTCACCAATCTGTGGTTGCAGGATGGTCGAATGCTCGAAGGACGATCGTCTAACGTTTCCCGTGCTGCAGTAGTCTGTTCGGGCTTCTTTCGACAGTCGTTAACCGGGTTACGCTGCTGATCTAGCGGCACACGCATGCGGGGTCTGGACTCGTGCGGTCTACTTTCAGCTGCGATAGAGTCTCGAGCCAGATCAAGCCACTCGAACGTCTCACGTTAGTCCATGGCATAGTCGATGCCGGCAGAGTAGATGGTGGAACACTCGTGACGGGAACACTGACGGCGTCCTATTCACCTGCACCTCGATACGGAGCTTTTCGTTGGCGCACTGAGCAGGTCTGGGATGGGCGACGCGACGAGGATGTAGGTTCGGTGTGACATTCCCCGCATCTGCGTCCCGTGGGGAAATTGGAAGCTCGAGAGGATGCCGCCGAGCCTATGATAGCCCCTGGGAGGTGTAGCTGCCGTAATATATACGAGGTGCATACTGTCCGATTCTCTTTGGTGCAGTCATCTAAGAACAAGGGATTCCCAAAGTAAACCTGGGATGGTGGGTGACCTCGAGCGGGTACTTGCGCCACAGAAACGTGATTGGGCGTGGTTCGCCGCGGGCTCCACTCAAAACTTTTGGTGATTCACATGTCGCGACTTGAACGCACTCGCGACTTCTCGTGATACTCGCATGCCCGACCGATAGCACCACTTTCGTCCAATATCGCACACCATGGCTTCAGCAGTAGCGCCGTCGCCCGCACCAAAAGAGGAGCCCGCCGAAACCTCCGCGACGGAAGTCATCAGCCCCGCCGATGCTCTATACGACAAATGCGCGCAACGGCCTGCGGGCCAGATCTTCTTCCAGCGCGACCTTTCCAACATGCAGGTCGCAGATACTGTGGCTCAGCTAATAGTGCTGCTGCAAGAGCTATGCGACCGCCATTTGTTGAAGCTCATGAGCCTCGAGGGTGAAATGTGCTGGAAACTGAGGACAAGGGAAGAAGCCGACAAGTAGGTCTAGATTCTCGCGGACATGGCATCTTGAACTCTTCTGACAGACATCCGTTCCCAGACTGCGACGACTCACACCCGACGAACGCCTCCTCTACTCCCACATCGACTCCGTACAAGCCGACGGCATCTGGTCCAAATCCCTCCGAGCCAAAACGAACGTCACACAACAGACCCTCACAAAATGTCTCAAGAGCTTGGAGTCGAAGGACTTGGTGCAGTCGGTCATGAGTGTCAAGTTCCCCAACCGGAAGATGTACCTCTTGAAGCACTTGAAGCCATCAGAAGACATTGCAGGTGGCCCATGGCAGTCAGAGGGTGACTTCGATATGGCACTGATTGAAACAATATCGGGCATCGTCGCTCAGCATGTGGAGAATGAAACCTGCATCAAGGTGCCCGGCAATTGGAACGACTATGACAGCACGGGCGACAGGACAGCTGCTATCGCTCAGAAGAAGGCCGAGGTTCTGGGCGCCGTGCGAGACATAGAAGAGGCGCCAGCCGTGAAGCCCTACAACCCCGCAAAGGACCCAAACACATCCAAGCTCGTCCACCGACACAACCCGCAATACCCAACAGCAGCCTCTGTAGCCAACTGGCTCAACTCGAAGGAGGTCCTGCGTGGCAAGACTGTGAGGGAGGACGATATGGAGCAACTTTTGGAGATGATGGTTCTCGACGACCGGCTTGAGAAGATCTCCGGTACAAACTACCGGACCGTGCTACGCGCCACCGACACCAAAGTCTACAACGGTTTTGTGGATGCACCGTGTGGTAATTGCCCTGTTTTCGATCTTTGCGGAAACGAGGGTGAGATCTCAGCAAGAACATGCGTCTACTTTGGTCAATGGCTGGAGACCTCGTCCGAGGAAATTTAGATGGCCCGTAATGCACAAGGCTATCAAAGTCTTCAGTGGGAGAGTTCAGCCAGTCAAAGAAAATCATGAGGAATTTTAGTATTAGCATAGCGCGGAGTTTGGGGTGTCAGCATTTGCATGGAAGATCGAAAAGGTATACCCATCATATTTAACCAAACATTTAAACGTTAAATTCTTTGGCCTTTCCATAGAAGCATGATGCAGTTCCGGTATCTCACTATGCCTCGTCAGCATGCGTGGGGCGTTGAGTTCTGTTGTTAAAATGCTCCGCTAGCCTGTCGTATGAAGTCTCCGAAACCATGAAAATCGCTCTCGGAGACATACGTGAGCACAGCTGACATCGACTGTGGAGGCTGTTTCTCTGTACGCCCGATCGTATACGCTCACTGACATTGTCTCCGAGCAAGAGGGTTTGCAATGTAGTGCTGCCGGGCGATGCTCAGCCATCGTATATATGAGGGATGCCGGCCCTCATGTTAATCGCATCAAATCCAACTCACATCCCGATATCTAGATCATCTAAAATGACCCTTACCACCTCTCGATACACAATGGCAAGTTTCCTCGACGCTGAATCCGCGCAAAAGTACAAGAATGCCGAGAAGGCGACTCGTCCTTACGTCAAAACCATCGTCCAACAATCAGGAATAGCTGCCTATCTCGAAACAGGAGCTGAAGCCAATATACTCGATTTCGCATGTGGAACAGGAGTTGTTGCACAGGAAATCTACGATACAGTACCAAAAGAGAAGTGGGAACAGCTGAAAGTGCTGGGCACTGACATCAGTCCTCCGATGTTGGAACATTTGAGGGCACGAGGAGAGACGCAGGGATGGAAGGAACTGGATACGAAGATTGTGGATGGGAATGTAAGTTGCTTTTGTCTACAAAAGCTTTAGCACCGGTTCGATACTAATGTCTTGAATAGACAGACATAACCCAAGCTCTCCCCAAGGCATCATACACACATATATTCGTCTCCTTCGCTATATCCATGCTCCCCGCACAGATACTCACGCATCTTTGCTCACTGTTGCGCCCAGGCGGATACATAGCAGTTGCAACGTGGTCAAGCATGTCATGGGATAGCCTTCTCACTCGCAGCATCGCTCTCACGAACGCGCCACAGCCTTACTCGCCCTCGCGTGAGGAACTGCGAGAAAAGTTCTGCGGACTTTGGGCTGACGAGTCATACTTGGCACAGCAGTTTGAAGCAGTGGGCTTGGGAAGAGTAGGGACCTCTAATGAGAAGAAAGCTGTGCGCGTTGGGACGCCAGATGTTTTCGTAGCGACTATGCAGTTTCCGCTGCAATACGTAAGGAGTACATGGTGGCAGGGCGAGCGAGAGGGAATCCTAGAAGATTTGAACGGTGCTATGAGAAGTATCGTACAGCAGGAGGTTGGAGAGGATGGGGAAGTGGAACTGGTGTTCGATGGGATAGTTGGGTGGGGTTGGAAGAGTGGTTAAGGGTCCATCTAGCTGTGCAGCGCGACGTAGTTTCCATTTATGACATCTGTAAACGAACCCATCTTCTGTACCCTTGAGTATTTAACAAACCTTCACGGCAGCAAGGACTATGTCAGTGTCGTTCAGCGGTCATGCCTCACTTCCAGATGATGCTATTCCTAGCGTTGAGGCGCACGTCCCCGCAAGTGTTCCACCCCAATGGCGATCAGCCGGCGCGACATCTCGTGGCCTCCCGACAGAGTGACCGGCGGATAGATTGACTCGACACCCAGCGCCATGTCCCCTTGAGACACCCCGACACTCCTTTGGTCCTCTTACAACCTCCACCTCGCCCACTAGAGCGTCTACCACATTTCACCCACGAACATGTCCGGCGCTCGCCCACTCCTCTCCGCACGCGCGTCCTCGGACATCAGCGGAGAGCGCGACATAGCAGAAGATGAAGCTCTGCTTACAGGCCGCCCAACAGCACACACGGAGAAGGACGGGCCGCGATCATGGAAGTTCTGGAGAGAAATAGGTCTATTTGTCTGGGCTGTCATCGCAACCGCGGCCGTCATCGTGCTCGCAGTCATCTTCCAGAAGGCCGGTTCCGACCCCAAGGCTTCGCATGCGAACGGGAAGAGGAACCTGATCTTCATGGTTTCTGATGGCATGGGCCCTACCTCGCTGTCGCTCACGAGATCATTCATGCAGTTCCAGAACGGCGCACCCTGGAGCGAGCAGCTCGTTATCGATCAACACCTTATCGGGCAGTCGCGAACACGGTCCTCTTCCTCTCTTATTACCGACTCGGCAGCAGGCGCGACTGCGTTCTCTTGTGCGCAGAAGAGCTACAACGGTGCCATCTCCGTAACACCCGACCACGAGCCATGCGGCACAGTGCTGGAAGCGGCCAAGAAGGCAGGATACATGACTGGTCTCGTTGTGACTACGAGAATCACGGATGCGACACCGGCATGCTTCGCCGCTCACGTCAACATGCGATCGGAAGAAGACCGCATCGCAGAACAGATGGTCGGAGACTACCCGCTTGGGCGCGTCGTGGACTTGATGTTTGGAGGCGGCCGATGCCACTTCCTGCCCAACTCAACGGTCGACTCAAGCTGCCGCGCCGACAACAAGGATATCGTGGAAATGGCGAAGAAGAAAGGATACAAATACGTCGACGACCGCGCGGGCTTTGACATGTTGAAAACAGGAGCGGGCCTAGATCTGCCCATCTTGGGACTTTATGCCGACACAGATATCCCCTACGAGATTGACCGCCGCAACGAGAACGACATCTACCCTAGCCTGCACGAGATGGCCGAGGTTGCCATGAAGGCGCTGAGCGATGCGACCAGGGACAGCGACAAGGGCTTCTTCCTTATGATTGAAGGATCAAGAATCGACCACGCAGGCCACCATAATGACCCTGCTGCTCAGGTACACGAGGTCCTTGCATACGACAGGACCTTTACCAGCGTACTGGACTTTATCAAGAACGAAAAGACAGAGACAGTCATGGTCTCGACCTCAGACCATGAGACAGGTGGTCTAGCTGTTGCCCGCCGTACGTTCTCCCCACCCCTACTGCAGTGACACTCACTAACATTCACCAGAACTCCACGCATCCTACCCCGAATACCTCTGGTACCCCTCCCCCCTCGCAAACGCATCCCACTCCGCCGAGCGTCTCGCCCTCGAATACACAAAGTACCTCCTCGCCGGTCCATCTGAAGAGGACAAGGTCAACTTTGTGCGGAGTTCCATCACATCCGGTCTGGGCATCTACGACTACACCGACAAGGAAGTCGCTGATCTCGTTGCCGAGCCTATTACCTCCCTATACCAATACGCAGACATGGTCTCCCGCCGTTCACAAACCGGCTGGTCGACCCACGGTCACAGCGGCGCAGATGTCAATATATACTCTTCGGACCCCGAGGCTGCCAAGGCGCTGGCGGGTAACCATGAGAATACTGAGGTTGGAGATTTCTTGAGGGATTATCTGGATGTGGATGTGGAGGCTGTTACTAAGGAGCTTAGGGAGAAGGGCACGGGGTTGAAGGTGCTGGATGTAAATGGTACGGAGGTTAGCTGGATGGGAAAGATACCTGAGGAGGGGCAGAGACTGGATGGACAGACGCATCTCGCGAGCTATGGAGGTGATCATAAGAAGAGAGGGGATGGTGGTGTTGTCCACGGTGAGGAGTGTGGCTGTGGACATTGATTTTGAAGTTTAAAGATGCGAAAGGCATGCTCTGGCGTTTTGGGTGCAGAAGAGATACCGGTTGATATAGACTATTTAGCTCTCAGCGTCAAATTACAGTTCAATTTCAGCTGAGTTCATCAGCAACCTAGTTGACAAGCAACCCAGGTCTTCATAATCATTGGCAAAAGAGAAGATTCAACTCCTTTCCGTATACAAATTCACCCTGGATATCTCCCGCGATGCAGCACCACCAATCAAGCCAAACACTCGAAGAACCCCTCCGTCTGCCAGCTCCACCTACTTCCTCTACTCTCCTTCCTCTTGTCACTACTCGCATCACTCTTCTCTTTTCTCGTTCTTCTTCTTTGCGTCATACCAATCCCCATCTCCTCCCTGCCAAGCGTACCTTCCCTCCTCTCGCCACCTTCCGCGCCAGCTTGCGTGCCAGACTGCGTTCCTGATCTGATGCTCCTCCTCAGCGAACTCCTCGACCGTATATCCACATCTCTCGGTGGGTACTGCCAATCCGCCATACCGATATCTTCGCCAGCATGCCTATGCCCTTTCCCATTCAACTTGCTCCCCCATTTCCCCAGCCTCCCACTCTTCATCCTCCGTACTAATTTCTCGCCCACACCGCCCCAAAACCTACACACCAGCGCGCAGACATGCCACAGAGCTAGCAACATCGCGCCCGTCGCTGATATGCCACCTGCACTGTGTATACCCCAGTTGACGCGATTGCAGCGGGCCTGGACTGAAAGTCCCTTTTGAAGGAAGATGAAATGCCATAGAGGGTAGTGGAATTTTCCGATGCAGAAAGCGAGGCCGGGCTTGATGTTGGATACGTAGACGTAGATGTGGGAGGCGAGAGTTAGGAACATGATTGTATCCCAGAGGCTGAGGAGGAGGTTGTGAGCTAGGGGTTTGTAGGCCGGGTGGAGGAAGGGGTGGTACGTGTGCTGACGCGGGGATCGTGGAGATGAAGACGGTAGGTTGTCTGAGTCGCTGGTCCAGTGTGATGATGTGCGGTTGTGGAGTGTAGAGTTTTGGCTTGATGGCTGACGTTCGATGTCGTGTGCGGGTCTTTGCGAGCGTTCTTCTTCTTGTTCTCCATCTCTTCTCTTGAGACGTTCCAACTGCTGATTCCACCATGTGGAAAAGCGCTGCCGTAACCTTTTCAGCCATGCTTTTGTAGCTCTCCGCCTCTTACCCACGTCCCTCTCCCTCCGTACCTGATGGAACTGATCCGCATACCATCCAATACACAGCGAAGCGTGCAGCGCATCCAGCGGTACCTATCACGCGTCAATATTGGCAACTGACACTGACGGTCAGTCCTACCGCCCCGACCTCAATTCCGATCCCTACTCCCTTATCGTACCAGACTCTCACTCCTCAAACTCACAAACAGATAGATAAAGACCCAACTAAAGACTGCCGTTCGTTCAAAGAACATTCGCATGAGTTCCTTCTTCGCTTCTTTCGGCATACCATAGCTTTCGACTGCTTCGGCGGCAGCCGTGTGCGAGATGAGCTGCATGAGGAGTAGGATCGCGGTGCTGAGAACGAGTATATGTATGACGATGTGGGCTTCGAGGACGCGCTCGTGACGGTCGTTAGATAGAGAAGCGAGGGAGAACGGCGGGGGGGTGGTCGAGGTCATGGCGATACGGGAGAGTTGAGAACTGCTTCGGTCTTTGTTGTGGAGGTGATCTGACGAGACGTTGCATTTTTCTGGGATCGCTCGGGCAGGCGCTTATTCGTGCTTGCCGCTGGAGGCTGAGGAAGGAGTGATTTAAGGAGGCTACGGCAGGAGCAACCATAACCCTGGACACAATACGTGTGTACCTTTGAGGTTCCTTTTCTTTGCATCGAGGCGAGACCGAACTAATTATAACCTTTCCGAGATGTGCCTCAGAGGCGAGCTCTACTTTGGACGTACACATCACATTCAACATGATGATTCGACGAAGTTCAGCGTTATGTATGCCTCAAGAATCTGATTTCGTAAAGATACCTCCCAAGATAAAGTTGTGTTCATACCGATGAGTTTCCCTTCATTACTGAGCTACTCTTCCTCCATACCGAATACCAAGCGGTCATCACCAGTTAGGCGTACCTTTCCCTACCCACAACTCCAAACTCCACGCTAATACAAGGGCAAATAGCACTCTGGGCAAGCAAACAGTTCCCCACCGGCCAAATTGAGTGAAAGTAGACAAATTAGAGAAGGTCAGTCTCGTCCTACTGAGCAAGCTACACTCCAAACTCGTTACCAAAGTTGCCATTGCCGTACGACGTCGTCCAATCAGGCTGAGTGTCTAGTAACCAGGAGACCGAATCGAACATTTCGAAGCTGTTCGCACTAGCCATGCCATTGGGCATCTGCAATGGCATACTCAGCGTGTTGATGTGTGGGTTGAAATTGGGCAAGGTGTGAGCCGGGTTTTCCACGGCGCCAGGCGGTGGTGTAGAATTACTGGAGGAGTCGGGATTCGTGGGGTTTGTCATGACCGTGTTTTCGAGCTGTTCCGCAGCTCCACTAACCTGCGCTTCTCGCCAGCGGAACGCGCAGTCAAAGACCACACTCATGCTCATCCGACTACGGATGATTAGGCCGAGAGGGTCATCTAGCATCCCAGTGCTTGGTCGCCTCTGGTTCTGCTGCTGTTGATGCTGTTGCTGATTGTGCTGATTGAACATGGTGCTCATGCCTGAGTTACTGAGAGATGGCGACTGTGAGAGGCTGTGTAGGCTGCGGCCGCGGGAACTTTCTTTCCACAATTGTGCCAGAACCTCGGCGAATCGATCCAAGAGATCGTTCGACCATACTTTGGATTTCCTTAGCGCATCCACAGTCTGTAGAACAAATTGTCGACCTTTGTTCGCGGGAAGCTTGCTGGCAAAGTCCGAGTTGAGGAGCTTGAGCAAAGCAAAACCGGCTGCAAGAGCCATCTGCATGACGTAGTAGGGAACGTAAGGCAGCCTGCCTTCGTGTTGTATCTTAAAAACACGCTCCAGATAGGCTGTCGCGGCGAAGTACAGCGCGACAAGGTCGTCCCGCCGTTCAAGCCGTACTTCCGGGCTGAAGAACGAATACAGATGGAGATGTAAGGAGACGGCGTAGTGGTATAGTTCTTCCAGGCCTGTTTGAAGTCAGAGAAGTCCCCATGAATGAGGGTGTCATATATACCGCTGTCCACCCCGTCAAGGGAGCTGTTTTCTTCCTTCACACGCTCTTCCTTGAGACGATCTGCTTCCAGACTCATGTAGCTTGTGGCGGCGCCTTCGGCGAAGCGATGGCTGTTGGCGGAGTACAGGAGCTTATTGATCCTGCTCGCAGCCATTTCCTGGCGAAGGCGGACGAACAGTGTGGGTGGTATAATGCGCATGTGCTCTTCGTCATCCACTTTGAAGTCGAGTGTCGAATCGTAAAGGGTTATCGAGGGCTGTCCGTTTCCTGTTGACACACTGCAATACGTTAGCTTTGGCACTACACTTTGATGGTACAAACTCACGTTTGCGCAACGATGTTGCAGACGGCCCACGTCCTCAGCCGATCGTGTATATCCTCGCGTCGCAGCTGCATTTTCGTTCTGGAGAAGTCATCCGGGTGCGTCGGCTGATGCAGACCAATCTGCATGGCAACCTGCATCATAGCGCCACACAGTATGAAAGTCGGGTCGGTCACTGTCCGCTCTGCTGGAAGTGGCCAGGTACAGAGCAGACACAAGGCCTTGACTACATGGTGGTTCGGCTGATTTCGAATAGAGTCCCAGATGAGATCGCTCAGCGGCTTGGAGAGATCCTTCAGCAGAACCGGCCGTGGCCCATAGCGGCGTGCGGCAACCGCGATAATAGCCCAGAACAGCAGCTTGTGGTCCTGCGAGTAGTACTCCTCAGGCGAGCGCACTTGATCTAAGAATGGCAGGAATGGGTGGTATAGCTGAAAGTATTCGGCGAACAGCTCGTTGACCTCACTGTGGCCCAGTCGCACTTCGCCGGCACCCAGCGAAAAGAACATGGGCGATCCGCTGCGCAAGTCGAGCAGAGACGTTGCCGCCACTTGTGTATGTTGTGTCTGTAGGAAGGCGTCGTCCTCCATCTTGGGGACTGGGCCGGGAGTGAAGGTGTGGTTGTCTGACGTCTGCTGCGGAGCATTCAGGACAGGCTGGTTCGGCGTGGACTGGCCTTCGTACATGGCGAGTCGCTCTCGCAAGTATTCCATCTCCTTCTCCATCTCGGCATTCCTATTACGCTTGCCGACACGCTTGAAGTTGGGCTCGATTACGCATCGCAGGTTCTGTTTCTGACATCGCGCACAGCTGACGAAGGGATCTTGCTGGACGTTACACTTGAGCTGCAACGGCACTGTTAGCGGGGTTATGAAACATTGACATCTGCCAGCTTGACGTTGGTGGTTGCAGGGCGTATACAGGCGCGGAGCATCGTAAACAGTCACACGCATTGATCCCAGTGGCGCGCACGCGGGCGCCCAGGCTTGGGATTGAGGTTCTCCATGGGCGCATGGACGGCATGTAGAAAAAAAGAACTTACCTTCTGCTGGCGACACTCGTTGCAGGCGCGCTTCACCGCGGTATTGCGCCGCGACGACGACGAGGGCCGCGTATCGCCGTCGCCATTCTCATCATCGTCGCTGCTAGCCGAGCGCTTGAATCCTCTGGTGTGGGTGCTGTTGGGGCTCTGGAACGGATGCGGCAGTCCATTTAGTCCGGGCGTCGTTGGTGACATGGAATGCAGCATATTGTTCGACATATGCGACCGATATCGCAGGGAATTTAGGTTGTGAGGGTAGGTAGAAGTGGGGGTCCAGCAGAGGGAGTCCGAGGCCGCAAGCGCGTGCGAAACTTGACCGGCTGCCTGGCCACGACTCTGACTCCAATGCCGTGGGAGACTCACTCGATCATGCGCGCCTGACTGCTATCACAAGCTGCAAGCTCCTGCAGGAAGCCGCCGAACTGTGGGCTCTCAGACGCGGGCGAGCTTGTCAGAAT